GTCATGGAATAGGGGTGCGGGGGGGGGGGGGAATAAAGGATCTAGTCAGAGGGGTAAAGGATCTTTAATTTATAAGCCAAATAAATTATTTTAAACTTTGAATATAAAACTTATAATATCTGATTCTCGCCAGATACCACACACGATGGCTCTGTAAATGGGCTGAAATTTACTGCTGATGGTTATTATCTGGCAACAATTGGAACAGACCAAAGATTTTTTATGTGGGACATTAACACAGGAAAAAAACTTACTTCACACTATCCACCTCTTAGCCACATAAAAAAGCGATCCGTTAAATTTTGCTTGACCAAAAGTGGTAGAGACAACTTTGCCTACATACCTACAGGTGCCAGTATTACTACATTCAATATTTCATCTGACAGTAGAGAGAAGCATTTGTATGGTCATTATAATAGTGTCAATTGCTGTTTTTATCATGAATGTGGCAATCAGTTAATTACAGGTGGCAATGACAGAAAAATTTTGGTATGGACACGCAAAGGTGACAAGGAGTATGAGGACTTCATGTGTGATAGGCGAGTAGAACTTATTAAGAAAAATGCAACAGAAGAAATTGTGACCATGCCAGAGTCTCTGGCACAAACTTTGGACACTTGGAGTGATGATGAGCAAGATTAACCACTTCTTCATTGAACTATTTGAACTTAATCATTTTTCTTTTTAAGAATAAAAACTTGAGTATTCTTTGCTAACATGTCCATATGCTTTATTATTGCTCAGAACTTTAACTTTAATGTTAAAATCCAGCCATTGCAATGAGATTTAGTGGAATGGAAGTCATTCAGACTAACACTGGGCGATGCAGTGCGTAGTGCTGAAGACAGAGAGGAATGGAGAAGGATGGTTCACGTGTCATCTGTGGCGCCCACAACGGTCCAAGGACTAAGGGACATGAGGATGAGGAGGAAGTCATTCAGAACAATGGCATTCCAGTTATTAACAACATTGTGATGTTTTTTAACAGCTTTGAAAATATGGTTGATTTGTTTATTAACAGTATTGTTAGGTTATGGGAAGAAAACCAATGCTCTAAAAACTGCAAGCCATAAAACTTGTTAATAAATATACTGAAATCTTGTATATGACACAGACATGAGTTGAGTACATATTCATTATGAAATGCATAAGTTATACTGAATTTATTTGTAAAATTACTGTGCATTGATGAAGAATGTTTTTTTTGGTTTTTTTTACAAACTGGGTATTTGGCAATATTCACTTTATAGTTATAAGATGAACTACACTTAAAGTTAGATTTAAATGATTAAGTTCATTTTCAATATCAAAATCCTAAAATGAAAATACTTTATTGGATAAACTCTTTCTTTGTTCGTTTTTATTTTTGGAGAGAAAGTGTATTTTTTGTGTAATTATCATTGTGTTAAATAAATTAAAATATTAACTATAATTTAGTATAAAATATTTGCCATTACAAGTACAAGCATTGTGTACAAAAATTATGGAAATAACCAAGCACCTTATTTAGATTTACTTATAAACAGATAAATTTACTACCTGATAAAATAAAGAAGCCTGGAATATTTTTCAACAACACAAAAGTATAAGGTTTCCAGGTTTCCTGACTCCTCCAGTGTAGGCAACTTGCATTGGTAGTGATTTATTTAAAAAAGTACATTTAAATACAATGACATATTTTGTCTAAAGGTTTATAATAGCCAAGTTTATTTCAAATTATAGAAATAATTTTATTTTACACTCTTAAACTTACAGGATGAGAACAATAACTGTACAAATGCATTATCTAAACTGGCAATATGATGTGGCCTTTCTTTTACAGTAACATTGTTAATCAGAGTAACTCTTTGTAAAACAAAACATCTAGGTCACTGAATTAACAAAATAGAATGGCCATTCAGAATTAGAAATGTATTTGTTGTTTTTTTAATGGTTTCCATTTACAAACAGGCAGTGTCACTGAATTAAAATAAAATTCACTCAGAAAAAAATGTGGTATTAGCAGTTGTGTTTCTATATTTTAAAGACAATTTAATTACTATAAAATATATAGGGCAATAAATACTTATGTAACAAGTGAAAATTTAAGTAAGAAATTCTAAAAGTATTACATTTATTTAAAATCTTTTCATTAGAAAAATTCAAACAGTACTTTGTATAAATTAAATCATCAGAAACAGTTGCTCCACACTTAGATTATTTCTTAATAATAGGATTAGTAATACTATTAGTATAAAGACTGTGTACGTTTTCTTAAATATTTTTTTCCATTTTAGTGTCAAATGGCTATTCGGACCCGGCATCAGAAGTGAGATTTTGGGTTTATTAAACCGGGTCCGAATAAAGGCAATTTCCGGTTCTATTTTGATTAAATGCTATTCGGATGTAATTTGTGGTAGTTTATTTTAGTTAAACTGAAGAATTAAATTTACAAACAAATAGTCCATTCAATTATCTTTCATTCGATACCAAATTTTATCTTACAAACCCAACAATAATATTTTAAACATTTTTTAATCCCAACCTCTTGGTAGCCGGGTCTGAATAGCCACTTCGCTTTCAAATATAAATAATCCTTTTAACAACTTAAAAGTGTAGGAGGAATACATTATAATAACAGTAAGACCTGCCTTTATTTACACTAATATAGCAGTAAAATACTGTTTTTGAGGAAAAGTAGAAATCAATCTGTTCCCAATAACATCTTTTACATGTTTTGAAAACTTTTAAAATCTTTATACACCTGTATATAATATACAATACAGTCTTTTTAAGATATCACTTGAAATTCCATTTTTTAATAATTATTTTTTTACATAGGTCTACACTCCTTCCTAGTATGTGTCCAGCATACCATGTAGAGTCCACTGCGCTAATTTAATAATCAATCACAAAACTGACATTAAGCTATTGTTAACAAAAATCTTAAAATTTAAATTATATATTTAAAAATTTAAAGCCATTATTAATGTGAATTTAAAGATATTTTGTGTTTAAAAAAAAAATGTCGGAAAGCTTTGGGATAACTATTCTCTCATATTATTTAAATATATTTTACTTGTTTATTTTTTTTCAACCTCCCAGGTAGCCAGTTAGATGGCGCTTTTAATATTTTGTGCCTTAATAAAAGAATGGGCAGAAAGTTATGGAGGTGGTTTGGGGGGTAAATGACATTATGTAAATCACATTGATAGAAAGACCTTTGTTATTTTTGCAGCTGATTTATTTTAAAGCTATAATATGTGATCATTATTGACAGTTAAAATACTGCATCTTTAACAGAACGAGTAATAATCATTCAGCTTGTCATCATCACTTTTCAAAATCTGATTATATCAATCCCATTTTGACTGTTTTCAATGTTATGTCAAAATTCAATAATTATTATTGAGATGCATAACATAAATAAAGCCTTTAATTAAGGCATCTCTCGTGATGGTCATAATTGTATTTCCTTCATCACCCTTGGCTACTAAGGGTAAAAATAATTCATAACTTAACTTTTATCATGAATAGCTCTTTTTATTGTATTGTTATCCCTACCTATTAGATAAAAAAAAATAGTTTGTGATTAACTATTAAAAAATAATAAAGATTTTTTTTTTTAAAGTAAAAAATTATATGTTTATACTTATACCAATTTATATTATATTTACATCACTATAAATAAAGGAATCATATATTTTTTACTTTTATTTTATCTAACAAATGCATATGTTTTTTTTTTTAAATCAGCATCATTTATCATTGTTTACAAAGAAGATGAAGAAATTTTAACAGATTTGTCTGTTATCCAAACTGCTTGATAACTACCAAACTGTTTAAACTAACATGGTTATGTTATCACAAGTTAAGTAGGACTAATTGAGGGACACGTTTCTTCATCTGGTAACACTAGAAATTTTCTGATACATGAGAAAATGTATTTATATTAATTAAAGAATCAATGAATTACTCAAATGTGAATTTTGCACAGATTTGGAATACATTTTAATACCCGACTCATATAGCAACTTTCTCACTGGGATCTTGGCTAAATGCTTCATAGACATTGGCTGCAAGTTGTTTCAGCTCATCCATCAATAAAAGCTCCTGAAATTTAATCATTAAACACATCAAAATGATATAAGGTGATTAATGAGTAAGGGAACCTGTGGAACTGGATTCATTTAACAGGTGTAATAGTCTTTTACTTTACTGTAACATATACCATTATAGCTTAGCTAGCAATATACCTGAATAAATTGATTAGGGGCATCTCCACAAATGTTAGTCATCAAAGAATTAATAACAGGAATCAGTTTAGCCATTGCTATGGAAATATGGTGAATTCTGAAAATCAAATAATGACTATCATAAATCCATTCATATATATATAGTAAAAGATATGAACAATGTTAAATAAACATTTTATAAGATAAGATTCTTTTATTGATCTAAACAAATGGAATGCATTGTAAATTTTGAGCACATAAATAAAACAATTTGAACTCAAGACATCTACATTAAATTATTTCACTGGTGAAAAAAAAAAAGCCATTCAAAGAACTCTCTTAGCAATATCAGGGACTTATTGGTTCTCATTTAGATTTGTGACTTCTGGGGGAGCATGCTGCTAAACTCGTAAAGATTGGGGAACAAAATAATTTTCATATCTTTCAGTCCTCGCCCTGAGAGAAAGAATTTATCCAGAACGGGCCGATCCCAAGTATCTGTGATGAAGAGGGTGGGATGTATCATCTAAAATTTGTCTAGTTTTACAATAACATCTTTCTTCAAATAGTTCTTCAATGATTCATGTTTCATTTATGTTTCTCGTCTTTAGTCATACATATTCTTTAGGTGCCAAGCTAGTATAATAGCATTGCTCATGTGCTGGGCACTGGCTGTAACAGGTGTCATTAACCTTATTGCAGCACCACACCCCATATTGATTTTAAAATATTTTTAGCACAACCCCATTCCCTCACCACAGGATAAAAATGAACATTTTTGCTGTGCCACACCCCCTTTTACTTCAAAACATTTCAAGCCCCCCCCCCCCCCCCCCCCCCCCCCCCAATTTCCATGGGGGTAGAGGGTAGAAGATTGGTGCGCCATAACCAAGTTACCACTTAAACAGTGAACACATTAGATTGACTCAAGTTTTTGTTACTAAATTAACTAAATTGATAATTAAATATTACCCAGAATTGTGACCATGGTCAGAGATTTGTTGCTTATAGTGATCTGCCAAGCCATCCAGAACACAGTGGTAGCCCCTGTCTATACTTTCTTTTAGCACAGTATGGAAGTCAGAACTGAAATTAATTAGGGAAAAAAATAGAGTAGATTGTACTTTATCCACACTAATTGGGGCAAGTGTTGACAGGATAACTGAACACTCAAATAGTAATGTTGCAACTATTTAGTGCATAGAGCACTGGGAAAGTGACTTTTCGAAAATCAAAGCTCTACTGTTATATAATATTATGAGTGACTAATCCATCAATCCCTGTGGTGCTACAGCCCATGTAGGGCTTTGGCCTGCCTCACCACTTCCTTCCACTCAGACCTAACTAATGCCTTTCTTTGCCATGCTTGAACTTTCAGCTGTTGTAGATCTTTTTCCACATCATCCATCTAAGCCTAGGTCTGCCTTTGAGTCTTTTTCCTCTGGGGTATTGGTGATGCACCCTCTTCGTTCCTCTGTCATTTGGCATTCTCTCTAAGTGTCCTGCCGAGCGTAGCCTGCCTCTTTTTATTTCTGCTACTATCATGGGATCCTGATATAGACCATACAATTCATGGTCGATTTCTATTCTCCATCCATATTCATCCTTTGTTGGTCCATATATTTTCCTGAGAACTTTGTGTTTCCCATGTGTTTAATAGGTTTTATGCCGTTTTTATTAGGGTCCAAGTTTCACTTGCATATATTGCAACTGGTCTGATTACAGTTTTATAAATAGTTTTCTTTGTTTCTCTTGTAATGTTTTTGCTTTTGAGTATTTTCTGACTACTGAAGTATGCCCTGTTTCCGGCTGATATTCTTTCTTTTATTTCTGTTAGTAATTCGTTTCTTTCATTTAACAAAGATCCTAGGTATTTGAATTGATTTACTTTTTCAAATGTCTGGTTTTAGCGCCCTCTCCTATATTTTTTCTGTTTTAGGTAGGATATGTATATTGATATTATGTAAATTTAATTTATACTTATTTAAATGTGTTTTATTTGTTTGTACTGATGAAGGCATGTGCCGAAACGTTTAATTCTGTATAATGTATAATTATTATTAAAGCTAACTCATATTGTTCTATTGACACAATTTGTTCGTGTCTTATTAATCTGGTTTCTAATTTTAATTGCTTCATCTGTTTGCTCTTCTCTTATCATGGTCATGTATTTTGTTTTTTGGTTGTTAACTTCCAGCCCTGCTGTTAGTGATGCGTCTTCTAATTCAATAAAGGATTTTGATGTCTTTAATACTTTTCCCTAGCAGTGCTATGTCATCAGCATTTGCAAGGTACTGAAGTGGTTGGTTGTAGAGTGTGCCCGTTGGTTGTGGGTCTTGGAGTTTCCCTCAGAAAGTATCCTGTTATCGTTCCTCGAGTGTCAATGTGTATGTTTCTCATAACTCTCTCTAATGTTAGGTTAAAGAGCATACAAGACAGTGAGTCTCCCTGTCTTAGACCTCTTCTAATCTGAAATTCCCTTGAATATTCTCCTTGAATCTTGATTTTGCTTTTTGAGTTGTTTAGTGTTACATGTATTAGTCTTGTCAGTTTGTTGGGTATCCCAAACTCCTGCAGAGTCTCATATAGATATTTTCTTTTGATGTTGTCATAGGCCATTTTATAGTCCACATAGAGTTGATGTAATGGTATATTATACTCATAGCATTTCTCTAATAGGGTTCTGATGGTGAAAATCTGATCAGTCGTTGATCTGTTAGGCCTAAATCCACATTGGTAAATCACCTAGTATTTCTTCAGTGTAAGGTTGTAGTCTTTTGGCAATAAGCTTCGTCAGTATTTTGTATGTAACATTTAATAGGGAGATTCCTCTGTAGTTTGTGCACTGAAGTTTGAAGCCTTTCTTGTATATTGGGGTTATTAATGCTGTTTTCCATTCTATTGGGATTTTCTCTTCTTGCCAAATTTTAGTTATAAGTTTATGTATATGACTGTGTAGTTCTTTTCCTCCATATTTAATCAGTTCTGCTGTGATAAGGTCTTGTCCGAGGGCTTTGTGATTTTTCATGTAATTTATTACCTCTTTGGTTTCTTCTAGGATTGGGCATTGTATAAATGGGTCTGGTCCTCCCTGTGGGGGTTGATAATCTTCTTCTTGTTTATTGTCTGCATTCAGTATGTCCTCAAAATATTCAGCCCACATCTCCAAAACTTTACTATTTTCCGTGATTAATTCTCCATTGTGGCTCTCACACATTTGCGGTCTGGCTTGGTATCCATTCTTTTAATCTTTTATCTTCATCTCTCTTGATAAATCTTCTGTTTCCTTTAGTTTAGCTTTTTCCCATTCCCTCTTTTTCTTCCTACACATTTTTGTTGCTTTCCTTCTGGCTTCCTTGTATGTTTGTGTTGTCTTTCTGGTTTCCCTTTGTAACATGATCATTCGTGCTTTGTTTCTTTATTCCACAGCCTCTCTGCATTCATTATCAAACCAGCCTACTCTATTGTTGGTTTGCTGGAATCCCACTACTCTTTCTTGCTGATTTTTAATGGCATTTTTATCCTATCCCACTGTTCATTTATGTTGTTTTCCCTGTTTACTTCCTCCTGTGATGTTTCTAATCGTGCTTCTACTTCATTCTGGTAAGCTTTTGCAGTTAATGGGTCTTTGGGCAGCTTTTGGTAATCATACCATTTCTCTCTTTGATTACGACCATTGTGAATTAAGCTTATTCTCTGTTTATATTTCACCCTTAGAAGTAGATGGTCCAAGTCTGCATCTGCTCCTCGAAGCTTCTCACATCTATTATATTTCTGATCCATGTCTCCGATCTATTAAACCATGATCAATTAGTTGCGGGTGATTCCATCTGGTGAGTTCCACGTAGCTTTATGTATATTTTTGTGCGGAAACTTGGTGCTGCTAACTGACATCCCTTTTCCTACAGCAAAGTCTATGAGTCGGATCCCATTGTCATTGGATTCTTCATGCAGACTTTCCTTGCCAATGGTTGGCATGAACATCTTTTCTTTTCCTATTTTGGCATTGAAGTCTCCAATCACTATTTTAATATCATGTTGTGATGCCTCTTCATAGATCTTTTCCAGTGTCTCATAAAAGGATTCTTTATCCTGATCTTCCCTGCCTTTGGTTGGAGCATGTACATTTATGAATTTTACATTGAACATTTTTCCTCGCACATGCAAAGAACACAATCTTTCGTTTTTTGGTTTGAATCCTATGACTACACTGACTGCTTCTTTTTTCACGGCAAATCCTGTTCCTAGTGTGTTGGTGTTGTTACCACTATAAAATATGGTGTATTCTTTTGTTTTGAGGATGTCTGAATTTTTCCATTGAATTTCTTGCAACGCAGCAATAGATATTTTATATTTGACCAGTTGATTTACAAGGTTGGCTAAGGCTCCTGCTCTAAACAGGCTTAGTATATTCCTAGGCGCAATCCAAAAATCATGTCCATGCATATGTCGATTTCCATTGGTATCAGTCAGGGTTTTATTCTGTTGATTGGCTTTCGTAACGTTAATTTTTTTACATGGCCGGGTTGTTAACCCTGCGCACAACCGTCTGGGGGGTTGCCCCTTACAGCTATCTGGATAGCTGCCTTAGTTTTTGGGTAAGGTTCCCTAGCCTTTGTGGATCCCTCCACTTCCTACAAGGCAGTAGGATCTATTTTGGTCTGCCCCAGGTATTTTATTTCCCTGGTATCCTCCATATCTGGTGGGCTTTCCCCTATCTGCCATCTGGGGAGGCGCTCGATGGGAGATCAGTATCTCTGCATGAGTATGAGTGACTAACCTTCATGCAAATCTCAATTTTTATATATAAAATGTGGACATCAATGTTAGCCGTCATCCATGCATTATATAGTACATTTTGTAATGTACTGGTAATTAAGAATAAATATTTTTGCAAAAGGTGTTCAATGAAATACCCATCTACCGATATTTTTAATAAGGATAAACAGTTGTTGATTTTTACAGAACAATTATAGACTTATTTGTATTGCTTAATATATATATTTTCTTTTTAAATCAGACATTTATATTATTATATAATAAATACATTTTAAAAACCAACATCACAGATAAAAATAAACAAAATTTAAAAAATAAAAGTAAAATAACAAAAATAATGTGTCACTATATCAGCTAATGAAAACAGGTGTCAACTGGGTTTTTCTTTTGGTAGGTATTCATTTACAAGTCTGCACATCGCATTATTGCAGTCTAGTCACTGGTAATAAATATAAGCTCCAAGGCCTACTTGGAACTGTTTGCGATTTACGATTAACATCCCTAATTTTTAATCATTAAAATTGAGGTGAATAGTATGGTACACATGTAATGTTAAATGAAAGCTTTAGCATAATTGACCATCATCTTTATTTCACTGCGGATTTGAAAATGTAATCGCAGTCATCTCTCAATAACTCATACTAAATGGCGCAGATTAACTCATTTTACATGGCGTAGGGCTCTGTCTGTGTTATGAAAAGTCTGTCTTATCCAGGGCAAATAAACGTGATAAATAAATGAAAAATTATACTGTATCTAAAGTAAGATTATTCCGTAATGTGATGAGGAGGTAAACAATACATATCAGATATGTAATCAAATAACACAGGCACAGGAATGGCAATGGTTGATTGTAGAGCATAATAAGTAGACATGTACCAGGTACTCATGTTTCAGTCAAGAATATGGAAGCTCATGGTGTGCAATATAGAAGAAATAGCAGAACTGTGTTGCAGGATCTCCAAAAACTACCTGCATTACACTGAATGTATGTCTAACACTTAAGCCTGCTGATAAGTGGCTGGTGCATTATGGCTCTAAATAAGCCTTGTGCCACATGATAATTTCTGTGACAAAAAAATTCAGTCAAAGGCTCAAAACGAAATGGATTATTTTAAAAATTCAAAGCAAATTTGAAACTGTCATACTTTACCAAGTCTGAGATATTGAGAGTTGATTGCATATAGATTAAGAAATAGGAAGATCTCCCTCAGACTAAGCTGTGTACTGAATTTCAGCTTTGTACAGACCTGTTTACCCTCAAACTCTTTAAATCGTACATTATCATCACAAAATCTGTCAATACATTATCTTAATAGTAAAAAATTAAACATACAGTATAAAGAATGTATGCACCTCAAAAAGTACATTGTACGCCAAAGATTAAACAGGTTTGTTTGTATCATTCTGCAAACCAGAGTATTAACAGTTGAATATAATACCCAAATCAATATACTTAACCAAAAATGGCTAGTTTGTACAGACATGGATTTTATTAGTGCCCAATTCAAATTTAAAACATAGGCACTTACTTACTGACTACCTAACAATAGTTCAAAGTCAAACAGTACTTGTAGAGAAATGATAAAAAAATTTTGAATAATCAAATTTAGACAATAAGTATTTTTAAAAATGCACATTTAATATAATTATAATAGAAACGCATATTCCTGATACCCAGTTTCCTAACATTTTCTAAAAAATTTAATATACTAGCCCTATTTCTGTATTTACTACTTACCTTTCTAAAATGTCCCTTGTTTCACTAACTAAACGTTCTAATAATTGGTCTTCTGGACTCATTACTGACTGAAATAAAATGGTTAAATACACAATTTTTTTAAATTTCAGTTTATGTACAACTAGACTGTCAGAACATGTATATATATGGCCTAGACAGTACCTTAAGATTATTTCCCCAATATGGAATGTAAACAATTTTTTTAACTCTTCAATATATTTTAGTTGTACCTCATTCAAATAAACACCAATCAGAGTTATAACTATTATTTATTTATTCAAAAAGCAAGGCTTTGTTTTCTTAACAAGATTATTTATCTCTGCCAAGTGTAATGTCATTTTGCTAACTCAAATAAATTTAAATTTTATCCTAACATGAAAATATATCACACAAATTTTCAATAGAAAAATCATACTTTTTAAATAAATTCATGAGATTATCCCATTTTTAAATATTTTTTTAAAATAACACTTACAGTCATTGCTATATCAGGCACTTGTTCACTTGTCAACAGATAGGGGTACAATGACAGAGTTGGTTTGTCTACACCACACTCAACCCTCTCCCTGATATTTTCAAACACTGAAGTCATATTGTCCAGAGACACCAACTCTTTCAAAGGAAAGCTGTAAAGATAGTTTGACAGAGTAGTCATTAAATTATTACATGTTACTATTGTTACATATTAATTAAAATTCAGGTGCTTTTTCGATGAATGAAAGAAAAAATAAATACCACTGATTCAATTAAATGTAATAATTCAATACTACAGGAAGTTTGAAGAATATTACATACAGTTGATATAATCCCAAGGATCTGGTGGGAGGGAACATGGTTAGGGTGTCTAAATGTTTCAGGAATTTTTAAACAGCTTAAGTAATCCAAAATAATGTGACCTAAACTAATTTTTTAAAATACATTCAGCAAAGAATATTTTGAAATTCTTTAGTTATAATTTCATTGAGATTTTATTTTTTAAAAAAGCAAATGTTTGTGCCCTTATTCTTATATAATTTTCTTTGCATATTAAATATTTAAGAGCAGTAAATGAATTGCAGATCATTGCTCTTGAACATATCCAAGCATGACTTTCAGTGACTTTATCCGAGCAACAAAGCAGAAATTAAATAAAAGAATCCAAAATATAAATAATGTAAATTTGTTTAAACTTACAATATGGTGTGAGCAGTTAGATGTAAAATCTTATATAATTTCATCTATAACACTGGCCCCAAATTATTAATGAGTTAAAATTAAGCTCCTCAGCCAACACCTTAAAAAATCTTTAGGTATGATTTAGTTACCAAGAAAAATATTTTGTAGTTTTACTAGTGTAAATAATTGTCCTATCAACATAAAAATGAACTGAACTTACCAACCAATTTCCTTAGCAACAGCTAATCGCAGATAATGAATGAAATCTAAAAACCCTGAAAAAGATAAAACTTGAAGTCTAAAATTTTTTATTTGCATTTAAGTTAGGATCTGTGCCTAATGAACGTACAAAAAAAACAAATATTTCACTGCTGTATTTCTCCTACCTTTCCTTAATATAAGTAGAAATTTAATTAAAATAAAACTAGTATGAACTGTACGGTACATGTTGCGAATAGTAGAGGCCTCTCTATATCAGTAGTAGATGCCTCTCTATATCAATAGTAGATGTCTCTTTATATCAATAGTAGATGCCTCTTTATATCAATAGTAGATGCATCTCTTTATCAATAGTAGAGGCCTCTCTATATCGCTTTCAGTCAGAATAAAATTTTGACGGTCTTGTCAGGTCAATGATAATATGCACAGCACAATGTGCTTCAACAGCACAAAGTCAGAGCACAACCAAGTCAGCAGCGGAGTAAAGGAAGGCCGCATTCCTGCACCCATGCATTTTACGTCTTCTCCTTGCTTAAAGACTACAATTACAGATTTATATTCACTCCGGGTTTGATGGCCAGCTGTGCAACATATTCCATCTCCAAGACTAAATCACAAGGTTCTCATCTGTTAACTGCTCTTTACCAATGATGCAGCCTTAACAACATGAAACAGTGATAAAAACAGCTTGTAAGTTATCTCTTACACCCTCGCACTTTTAGGGGTCAGCTGTTGTTAAGCTCAAGAGGTGAGAGACATGACAGCCAAAACAGTGGGTGTTAATGCCAGATTGAACAAAAGGGTCTGGAACAGCTGTGATCTCACAGAGAGGACCAAACTGTACATTCATCTTTGGCAATAAGAATTGGAAGCCAAAGCAGAACCCAACAGCTTCCACCTGAGATGTCGGTGGTCCAATCTGCACATTGAATGACATGATCAATTGCCTAAAACTAAGGTCCAGCACACATTACACGGCACACATTACAAGGGACCTGCTTTTATTTGTACAGCAGCCTGACAGATTAGGTACAACCCTCTGTACGTCCAATTCTATGCTACAAGAATATGTGCAAAAAAAGATATGAAGGCAGTTAGCATTAACACAAGAAAATAGGAGCTCTGAGCTGAATACCATACCCAATGGTGCCTTGCTGTACAGGAAGTAAAACATGCCGAGATGGGGGTGAAATGCAAAAATTGACTCTGGAGCAACTATGGATGCTGATGACAAATTTCAGGCAACTAATATCCCTCAACTTGATTCATTTTGTGGAACATGCACTATTTTTATTGTTCATTTTAACATCTTTTGAAAACTAATCTAAGTTTCTTATTTAAATGTTTTCATAATATTTCTGTACAATTTATTCTCTATTAGGTCTAGCAAGTAATAAAAGTTGTTTTTTTCAGGTATTGATTTTGAAAGTTAAGAATGTATTTTACTGTTTATTTAGGCAACCACTGATTTAGACGCAAAATAAGTCTATATTGTTTTTTCCAATACAGAAATATTTTGAACTATCTATGAGTTACTGCTAAAAATACCTTGCTCGATGAACTGTTTCACCAATGATAAATATCGCTCTTGAACTTTTGGTGGTATTGCACAGTTATGACCAGCTTCATGTTTCTGTAACATCAGAAAAATGCCGTTAGGATACATCAACGTTCTTGAGAAATATGTCCAATTAATGATGGAAATTTCATGATGCATCTGTGTTTTAAAAACTAACCAAAGTGTTATTTTTTAGCATTTCAGCCTACTATATATATATTAGAGTTGTACAATAAATACTTGAGATTTACTTGAGTATGTTTGTCTGTGTTGCAAATAATTCAGTCCTTAAATTACATCACAAGTTTCCAAAAGATTAGCTATACATTTAATACAATACCCTCAAGATTTCTGACATATATTTTTAACCTTCAACGAAAAAGGGATATATGGGTTCAATTAGATTTAAAATGGAGTCGTTGTGTCCCCCCCCCCCCCACCATCAGGTCTATAGATTACTTAAAATTCAGTTCGTTTTTAGAACTGCAACTATTTGAGTTTTTTAACCTTCAACGAAAAAGGGATATATGGGTTCAATTAGATTTAAAATGGAGTCGTTGTGTCCCCCCCCCCCCACCATCAGGTCTATAGATTACTTAAAATTCAGTTCGTTTTTAGAACTGCAACTATTTGAGAGTCTTTTCTAAGGACATTATCAAATTTATCAGGATATTTTTTATTCACTTGTGATCAAATTAACTTGCAATAGTTTAATTAAACTATTCCATAGTTTAATTAAACTATTCCAGAGGTTCCCCAGTTATCAAAATAAATATTGCATTATTTCTCCTCAACAGCTCAAACACAATTTTAAAAGTTAAGATTAATCCTAAAGTTCCAAGAGGCATTATTTGACATGCCCAAGTACTTACGACACCATTTGGTGGATGTAAAATGTCCAGGTAGAGATATCCACCAACAATATTTAGCTGGACTCGTAACATAACTGACAGCATGCACGTTCCATATACAGCTGCCAAAGTGCGGGTAACACCTATTTTAAAATGGTTATATAAAGTGTTCAATAGATTCTCATTATGTTATCAAACTATGAAGGATAGATAATTTATTAATAAGGCTATTCCTCCAATACCGGCATAAAATATCTGTGTGCCACTAGTTTACACAAAAACAAGCCGACAGGTCTCTGAGTGATTTACTCTGCCCTGGATTGGCCTATGTTGGTTATGTTAGATGAAATAAATGTGGGGTGGGGTAACCCTTTTAAGTAACAAAAACCATGGAACTTTACTTCTATTATTGCTAACAAAATTATGAAACATCTGGCAGATAATAGAAGCTTTTTTTTTTTAATGATCAGAATTGGTTACAGGGCCACAAAAAGGAGGTGACCACCATTTGTGCCAGTATCTGTCAAAATCGTAAACTATCTTTAAATAAATAAATAAATAAATAAATATATATATATATATATATATATATATAAATAAAAAAATAAATAAATATATATATACACACACAACACAAATGAATATAATATATATATATTATACCACATCCCCCAAAAGTAAGAATACTGAAACTGCCACATCTTTAATGTGTAAGTGCATTTGTCATTGGTGCATAGCTCAAGCCACCCTGTGTTCCCTGAGTTTTCAAGGAAGTTGTGTTGGGCAGTTGTTGTTAGAAATGGGTCTCTTTATACAGGAAAATATTTTTATAGTTCAGAACTATTTTCTCTAATGCGGAACTGGTCGTGAAAGGGGACCCAGTTTGAAAAAGGTGGCAGAACAATTCAGAGAGAGATTTTATAAGAACTAAGTAACACGGTTATGCAGTCTGTTGTTTAGAACTTTTGACATTCTGGAACTGTACTATCTCAAGGGAAGGCTTAGACTGGTCAGCCAGTAACATCGAGCATATTTGAAACTGATTAGCAACAATACTTCCGTTTGCTGCTTGTCAAAAGACATAGTTGTATTTTTGTACCAGTTCGAAAAGTCAGATATGATATATAGCCAGGATGATAAATTGTGGAGCATATTTGGCAAGGTTTTGTTTAGGCATGTGTGGTTCTCTGCCGCAAGTCACATTTCCTTGGATTGCTACATTAATTGCCAGACAACTTGCTTCCTTGGTTTTGATGGGCCAGATGTTGTCAAAGTGCAAATGTGATGAGCATCCATTGCAATGCTGCAGAAAAACTTTCCTGGACGAATCATTTTACGCGCTACTCACTTCCCGTACACATTTCACTCCCCTGATCTTACGTCACCTGATGCCTAGTTGTAGGGAAATGTTTAAAGAGTGTATTGAACTGTGAAGATCTGCCAAGAACTGTGCCTGCATTACGAAAAAAAATAGACTCATTTTGCGGCAGGAGTCTGCAGCAACTAATGTTAAGTGATATGTTTGAAAATCTACTTAAGGGATATGGCAAGTCAGTGCACACTATGAACATTTACATTATGTATACTGTGGTAAATCAACAAGCTAATAGTGTGTATGTTAGTTTTTTTTCAGGAGAAATACATTTACAGATGACAACAAGGAAATATTGTTAGTCTTTTCTTTTCAGTACGGTGACTTTAGGCATATTACAATTACTTGCGGCTGCAACAAGATGGCGGAAAAAACAAATCCAAAAGAGCAGAAGAGGAAGCAAACATGGATTTCACTAGAAAATAATTGTGTGAAATAGTTCTTTTTTTGGAATATATGCTTAAGAATCTGTACAGGATCAGAATCTTTGTTTACCCATCATCCCAAGTCAAGTGGCGACAGGCAGGCTCTCCTAAATGCATAACGATGGGCTAGAATAGATGCCCAAAACATTGCCTGCTCCTTCACACCCTGGCCGGCTGAACACGGCCGGCTGAACACAGTCGGCAGGGACCCAAATTTTACGGTCGAAAATCAAGGATAATCACTATTTCACTTAAAATTGCCACATGGAACATCCACACACTGCTTGACTGGGACACTTCAAACAGACCTCAACGACGCACGGCGCTTATTGTCCATGAACTTGCGAGATACAATATAGACATCGCCGCCCTCAGTGAAACCAGACTCTCTGGCAAGGGTGAACTCACAGAAAGGCTTGCTGGCTATTTTTTCTTCTGGAGCGGACGCGACCCTGATGCAAGGCAAGAAGCTGGTGTTGGCTTTGTTATTAAATCCTCTCTTGTGAGCAGACTCCCCAGCTCTCCTTTAAAGGTATCAATGACCGTCTTATGACATTGAAACTACCCCTCTGCCATGGAAAGAAGTCTGCTACCTTAGTCAGTACCTATGCACCCACCATGACAAACACAGAAGAGACCAAACATAATTTTTATGAAGACCTGAATACTATCATCTCTTCCACACCGACTGCTGAAAAACTCATCATACTTGGATCTATTAAAATGCACGTATCGACAGTGACTACACTTCCTCGGGGGGGGGGGGGGGGGGGGGGGGGAGTGATTGGGAAGCAGGGTGTTGGAAAGTGCAACAGCAACGGCCTACTGCTACTGCAGACCTGTGCTGAACATGGCCTTCTAATAACGAACACCACCTTCAGCCTGCCTACGCGCAACAGGACCTCCTGGATTCACCCCCGTTCAAAACACTGGCACCTAATTGATGTCATAGTCAGAAATAGGGACCGCCAGGACGAGAGGGTGACTAAGGTCATGTGTGGTGCAGAATGCTGGACGGATCACCACCTCATCGTCTCGAAGATGAAAGTTCACATCCAACGTCGGGCGTACAAGGCCCTCCATGATGACCCAATGCCAACAGTAAAGACAGCTGCACTGCGGAGCATCCGCAGCAAGGTCCAGATTCAACTGCTGATGAAATTCAGGGCTTTGCAGACAAGAAAGACATGAAAAACTTCTACTGTGACCTGAGAGAAATCTATGGAGTGGCCACCTCAGAGGCTCTTCTCCTCTCCTACACTCATTACAGACAAGGAGAAAATCTTGAAAAGATGGGCGGAACACTTTGATAGTGTGCTCAATTCGCCTTCCAACATTAATGATGAGGCCATTGAAAGACTGCCCCAGGTCCCAACGAACAAGTCACTAGACGCCGTCCAAACTTTAGATGAGATACAGACAGCAATCTGCCAAATGTCCAATGGCAAAGTATCTGGCTCCAACATGATTCCTGCCAAAATCTACAAAGAGGCTGGACCAGCACTGACGTATAAGCTATTGCGTCTATTCAGATCATCTGGCAGGCAGAAACTGTACCACAAGACCTCAAGGATGCCTCGAATATCCACCTGTACAAACACAAAGGAAACCGCCAGGCCTGCGACAATCACTGCGGAAGTTCACTGCTGTCCAATGCAGGCAAGATCTTGGCCCGAGCCCTTCTGAACCGCCTGAATGCACATCTGGAGCTAGGTCTCCTACCCGAAAGTCAATGCGGTTTCCCTAAAAAGGCAGAAGTATCGATATGGTGTTTGCTGCTAGGCAGCTTCAAGAGAAATGCCAGGAGCAAAATACAGACATATATTCCACATTTATCGACTTGAATAAGGCTTTTGACAGGGTCAATAGAGGTGGCCTGTGGAAAATCATGAAGAAGTACGGATGCCCAGACAAGTTCACCAACATCATCTGTCTGCTGCATGATGGCCCAAGTCAGTCATCTCAAGCATACCCTGTCACAAACGGTGTGAAGCAGGGCTGTGTCCTTGCTCCCACACTCTTCAGTATTATGTATTCTGCAATGCTGTCTGATGCGTTCAAGTTTGCTTGCCAATCCAGTTTCACACTGATGGATCAGTCTTCAACCTTAGGAGGCTTCAAGCTAAAACCAAGGTCAAACATAACACCATCAACGAGCTTCTGTTTGCGGGCGATTGTGCCATCAACGCTGCCATGCAAAACAGCCTTGATATCTTCTCTAAGGCCTGCAATAACTTTGGCCTCACAATCAACACAAAGAAGACTGAGGTGATGTATCAGCCAGCTCCCAGTAAGCCCTACATTGAGCCCAACATCACCATCAGTGGACAGCGTCTCAACACGATGGATAAATTTACTTACTTGGGCAGCACCCTCTGCAGATCTGTCGTCATGGATGATGAAATGAATGGCAGACTCGCAAAAGCTAGTGCCACATTTTGCAGGCTCCGCGGGACTGTTTGGGACAGGAGAAGTATTAGACGAGAAACAAAGATCAAGGTCTATAGAGCAGAAGTCCTCTCGACATTGCTCTACGAATGTGAAGCGTGGACAGTCTACCAGCGTCACGCCAGGAAACTGAATCACAACCTGCCTCAGGAAACTTCTCGGCATCAGGTGGTAAGACAAAGTCCCTGACACACAGGTCCTCGCTAGAGCGAACCTACCTAGTATCTTCACCACCCTGATGCAGTCCCAACTCCGTTGGATGGGACACGTAGTCCGTATGGAAGACCATCGGCTCCCAAAACAGATATTCTCGGAGAATTCACAATAGGCAAGCACTCCCAAAGAGGTAAAAAAAAGTGATACAAAGACTCACTGAAAGTGGCACTAAAGGCCTTCAGCATCAACCCTACTCAATGGGTGCAGACAGCCCAGGACAGAGCCATGTGGAGAGCAGCTGTCAAGAAGGGGGCTAAATCCCATGAAGTTAATAGGATAACCACAGCGGAGACACGCCCGAAAGAGCCTCACTAGGTCACCATCTGCAGCAACTATCCCCTGCCCGCGGTGCCAGAGATTATTCCAAGCACAGATCGGTCTAGCAAGCCACCTACGAGCTCACCGTAACCCACCCTCCCCCTAATTGGATGACTCGATGGTCCTAGTCGACTTCAGCTGACAAACAACAATAATATTCACAAGCACTGCATATCATATATATGTCTCAATCATAATTATTGACCATATCATATATCAGTTTTTTTGTTTTTTTTTTAAACTAAAATTTTCAGGCTTTGCCCAGGGGTAGATTTTTCTCGGCTTGAACCCGATTTGATATAATTGTCCACTAAACCAATGAAAGAAAATAGTTTATTGATCTCAAAAAAGAAACCTTCTTTAAACAACCTTGAAACTAAATAAAAAATAAGTTAATAGCAGAATGTTAGATTAATTACTCTTATATTCTTTTACAGGCCTGCACAACTCAAAATGTAAGGCGGCCCGTAATACTTTATGAAAAACTTGTGCGGGCCAAAAGAAAATAGGACATGACTTGTGCGGGCCAAAAGAAAATAGGACATTACTTGTGCGGCCCAAAAGAAAATAGGACAGGGGAAAAACTATTAAGAAAATAATAAGAATAAAGAATATTTTGTTACTTCCCGGGCCACAAAGTGGGTGCTGGCGGGCTGCATGTGGCCCACGGGCTGTATGTTGTGCAGGCCTGTTCTAATAGATATGAAATTTTAGTAACTCTCATGCAAAATATTAGAAAATGTATTGTTACTTACTCATAACTTTCAGCTCTTCCCATAGTTCAAGTTTATTTGGTGGACTAGCAGAGACAAATAAATAGAACGAATTTTAGTACCTGTACATAATGAAATTCCCTGTCTTTTATACAAAAGCAAACTCAGTTATAAATAAAATAAACAGAATATGTAGTGTTAATGAAGAAAATGTGGTTTCTCATTCTGCATATAAATTCTATCTTTTTGAGTTACTGCCATAATGTTGTCAGTAGAATTATCTGTGAAAATTTTACCAGTATCAGTAGAGAACTACTTTTGAGGTTTGTTTAATATGTCTTACAAGTTCTGTTTATTTCAGGTACACTTTTAAAATTTACAGCATTTAATTTATTTCAAAATAAGTCTTTTACAAATTAACATGTTTAACATGACACTGATAAATAAATATCATATATTAAGGTAAACATCTATGTTTATTCAATTATAACTATTTTGAGGACTTCAAAAGATCAAACCTTCATTAGACTTAATAAAAACCTTTAAAAAATGTTCATGAAAAATAGTATGTGTCTGTACATTTAATTTAACTGTATGAAAACAAAATAAAGTGCAACTGTCATTAGTCTTAATAAAAACCTAATGATAAAAATGATGTAAGCACAACAATTTAGTGGATAGAAATTCTGAAAAATTTGATATTTTCATGAATATTATTGTATATACATTTGACCTAACAGTAGGAAAACAAAATAAAGTCACAGTAATAAACAAGTCATTCTTGTGTTCTTTCCCAAATTCACAATGGTTTTTAAAAAACTACAAAAACAACTAATTTTAAAGTTCTAGTTGTTTTTATTAATATTTAAGGTTTAAGGTGAAGTTATATATATATATATATATAATGAATGATTAATTTGATATTTGTAAATATTTTTAAGTTCAAGTTGCTTTTTTAAAAATTTATTTAACTTTCAAGTTGTTATTTGTATATAATTGATATTCAAGTGTTTTTTTTTAAATATTTAAAGTTCTAGATGTGTTCAAATTTTTGTTTAAAGATGAGACAATTAAAGTTTTTAAAAATAAACTTGACAATTCTTTTTTACCCGTAATTAGGAAAACCTTACAATTATTATGTCAATAAGAGTTTTTCTAATTAATAATACTATGAATTTAAATAGTATACCAGCTGAAAGCCAGGTATATTAAATAGTATTTTAATATTTGTATAAAAGCTTTAAATAATTATAATTAACAAATGAATAAATGATCCACAAATCAAATCAGCTACAAGTATGCCTTCACAGTTGCAGGTATACACAGGAATAATAAATAGTTTTCTACTTTGCTAATCTGTGTGACCTAAATATAACTGTAACAAAATAACCTTCATTCTATGTGATCTATAATCTCAACAGTTATTATATTTGTCATTCTCTGAAACAAAGTTGTTTTTCTTAAAATCTAAAAGAAATAAAATCAAAGTTCACTTGGATTTGAGAAGCTCCTTGACCCTTTCTGTGTCTAGAGACTTGATCAATGTCTCACGTAAATTTGGTACCATCCCCAAAACTGGAAAATAAATATTTTATTGATCTATATAAACAAATATACATCTTTGAACAAATGGTAATGTACATTTACACAGTGATTCCATAATTTACTTCTGGATCTGAAAAAAAGCTTAACTTTACAAGGGTCTTAATAGTTAACTTCTAATGCAGTTGCAGAGAAATTTAAATCTTTACCGAAATGTATGCACTTTGCGCTGTTCCTTTAAAATCCACACAAATTATCATTGAGGACAACATTTTACCATTGAACAGAGCCATATTTGTGATTACCCTAATTCTTTATCTCAGAGCTTCATATGAAAACTATTGGAACAATAAACAGCTTGATACATCAAGAGCTGAATTATAAGTTTACCGATACACTATTTCTCCTCAAACATGGCATATAACCTGTATAATCTTGGAGCAAAGAATTTTTAACTGCTGATACGGCTGCTTAGTTGGAACAGGGTTAACCATGGTTTTCATATACGGGTACTGATCTCTAAGGATTCCATTTTTTAAACACAAGGAAATCTCCTGGTAAATTTGGTCTTATTACTCACCTGTCATGTTGCAGGTTCTTTGATTACTATCAAAATGATGCTGCCTTCTGGAAAAATCAAAACATTTTAAAACATCATTATGACTACAAAAATTTTTAGTGTGTTTGAGGCTGTGTTTATTTCCCTTTTGACCACTCTTGTGAACAAGATTTAGGGATGTGAATGTTTGGTATGGAAAGTTGTTGATCATGAGAGGTTTTGTGCGTGCATGTTTGATGTTAAGAGTACTTGTGTAGCTGTTTCTATGTTCTTGGTATTTCTTGATGTATTTGGAAATGGGAAATAACGTGATAGTTTTATGGTTTTGGATAGCAGTGATGGAGTAATTAGATAAAAGGGTTTTAGAATTTCAGAGTTGTTTGTTTAATAAAGATACATTTGACATGAATCAATGGTTTATTAAGTAATTGAATTACCCCCTAGACAACGAAGCTATTAAACTGTGGTAATATCGAGATCGTAACACTGAAGTTTGTGATTTATGTTGTGATTGTAACCCCTAGACAACGAGGGAGTCTACTGCCCTCAGTTAATGTAGGAGTTGTTCATTTGAAAAGAAGGTAGATCCTAACATGTGGAAGTTATTAACCTCGGGAAGATCGTAACAACCACCTTGATACAATCCACATCCCATGTCATGGTGCCCTTTTATTATAGTCTCTGTTATGTATTAACTTTGCTTTAGATTAAAATAAGTAATGCTTAAGATATTTCTCAAATTAGTTAACATGGAAAAGATGACTTTACACATTATATGACTCACAACACACACATAGGTGTTAAGATAACCATCATTGGGAACCGAATTTCGGGAGGGGGGGGGGGAACGGGGGGACACACTTGCGCATCCACCATCAAATTTAGCGCTTTGTTCATCTGCACATGTGAAGGACAAAAAACATCCCATAAATAGATGGATTTTCCTAAAAATGGTCATAATTACATTTCCAAATGTCTGATCTCACCTAACAAATATTAGATACTGTTTGTCTTCTTCATCTCTTATTTCTTTAATCTTTTTCCAAATATACTTGTATAATAACCAGCTCCCTGGGGAAAAAAACATTTTTTTTAAGTTATTTAAGAATTAGGGAACTTTTTAATACAATATTGAGATTCAGGTCAAATTTAATATATCCGTATGCAAAAACTTATAAATAATTCACACAATTTTTAAAAATTTAGATTAGATGAATTATCTGTATCTAACATAGTGGATCTCAAACTTTTTTGGCCATCACCCCCTAACGCCATAAACTCACCCTAACACCCTCACTAACAAAAAAAATTTAATTATTCAGGTCATGTGTTTGCAAAAATCTATAAATGTAAAGAATATAACACAATAAAAATGTAAAAGATTAACTAATGATTGAACTGTTGATTAAAATACAATAAAGCTTTTAACTTTAATTAATTCAGTAATGAACTGATTAACTTTATAAATCAAAACCAAAGCTTTTTAAACTATGATATTATTACTCAAAAGTTTTAGATATTACACTTAGTAATAATAACTTACTTCTACATCAATCAACTATTCTTAATGTTTGCTTGGACTGGCTTAGTAAAGTGATACCATTTGTTAAATGTGTGGTTGAAGATTACTTAACAACACTCATACTCTTAAATCAACACTATAATAATACATATTGTACAACACTATAATAATACATATTGTACATCTGTTATAATCATCGCTATCTTTGCTCACAATTGTATTGCACCCCTTGCTATTTTACAAGCCCTACCACTGTTCTTTAAGTAGTAACACTTTTTTCATTAAGATTACCAACTGAAACTATACAGACATAAATTAGGTAAACCCAGGTCCAAATTTTCAGTAGGAACACATTTAATAGAAATCCATGCTCTGCTTAAGGAAAGTCTAAGATCAGGCTCACCTAAGAGGCGATGTCTCCCCACATTCGACTCTACCATATTCCCCCATGCAGAGGGGGGTTATCAAGATCAAACCTCAAATTTTTCTATCGAAGCATGTTATTATTACCAAATGATTTATCTTACCCAGTGGCTACCCAATAGAATAGAATCATCTGGACAATAACACCATTATTAAAGCTGGTGATCTACTACAGTGTTGCCCAAAATGGTGATCTGAAAAGCCCCCTCCACAAGCCTTACGTTGCCAGTCCACAAAACATGAGACAAGAAACTGGATACAAGTTAATGAACTTAAAATGGCCAGCACTAAATGGTAAGAGTTAATGGAGTCATCTCGCATTGGCTGATCATGAATTGAAAAAATCTATTTATATTTAGAGTCATGTAGATCTTGCTGTTCAGGAGCTATTCGATTCCAGATACGGTTAAAAAATTATTGATATAAATTGTTGCTCTTGAAAGTCTGATAGTCCTGATAGTGAAATTTGAGTTGCTTTTGAACCACTATGTAAATGCTCTGTTCAGCAAAAAGTTTATACTTTTTGTTAAATTTAAATATAATGTAATATATATTATTTAATTTTGGTAAGCATAGAATAGAGGTAAGATTCCTTTTTCTAGTCTTTTCTTATGTTGTAATTGAAGTTGATTTATTGTTCCTTTTTTTTTCTTCTTTTTTTTTGTATTATATTTTTCTGATCATTATGAATTTTAACATTATTTTTAAAATGAAAGTTCCACTTTCACATAGCAATTTCACAGATATTGTCTGAAATCCAATATTTGTGTATGCTATTGTGTGCCGTGGAATTATGGGAATAACCTAGATAAACCTTGCATGCAAAGGATCAAATTTTTCAGAAAATAAAAATAATTGCCTACTCTGACCCCCTAAACCAAGGATCAACAACCTTTTTTGAGTGAGGTAAAAAAAATATATTTTTGTATCTATTTTGTATCTAGCACTAAACAGCCAATTTGTTATCTATGCAAACCTAACTTCAATATCTCATTCATGAAGTACATAAATTAAACACAACTCATTATAAGTTCATAATTTTGTTCCATTGGAAGAATAATTTCTTTCTATTAACTTATGATATGATAAGTGCTATTAAAATGAGCATTAGCTGCAAACTAAAATAAAGTTAAAGATTTATGAAACACTCAAACAAAGTTTCGGTACTCAGTCCATTCAACCAAACTTGGAAATGGACATGTTGGCAGAAAGTAGGCAAACAGAATAATAAGGGCCTAAGCCTTTCCTATAGGCAACCTATGAATAATTTGGCAATCCATATTTTTGTATTTGCCATGAAAAATGTGGGTAGTCAGTGAAATTTATACCAGACATTGCTCTCAGTGAATCACAATACTCCAAGTCTCTCTCAAGCCATATTTAGTGCATGTCTGACATGAATGGCATATATATTAATTTTAAATAACAATTTCCTCTTGACAGTAATAACATATATGCCAACCTGTATGGTTTACTCGCTTGAGCCTTCGAATTTTAGCTATTTTAAAGCCATAGAGGTTTTAGTATAGTTTTTTAAAGTATTTTTTTAAAATTGAAATAAATTTTTTGCACACCTGCTCAATATTTGTCTAATTTGTCAGTTCAAAATAACCTTTGGCCTAAACTCTATTATTGGTAGGCTATCTTAGCCACCTAAATTTTGCCCCCCCCCCCATGTCAAATAGTGTGTGGATGGCCCCAGTCTCAGCAAAGTAAAGACCTAAAAATGTCACTACTGACGTTGTCAAGGACTTTGACTTAGACTAAGGCTAAATAATAAGGAAAAACCAAGAAAATCTATGTGCCAATGAAATTTGTAGTATGGGGAGGACCATGAAGGTTGAAGCAATATGAAATATGACACCGAGACTGTCACAGAGAGCTGGGGCAGGAAATTCTTACTTAAATAGTGAAATAATATTATAAAACTTAAAACTGTGACTTTTCAGTTTCAGGTTCTTCCATATATTGTAGAGAACCTTGTTTCGTCTCTGTTAAACCTTCAATCTGTATCTCATATTTCACCAATCAGACAACTCAGGCGATGGTTATAGACATTATAGTCTTTCACCTTTTATTTGTCTTCTACATCAAATTCACCTACTCTTTCTCTCTCACACTCATTTCTGACTGTCCTCGATTCGTCTCTCTGTCCACTGCGTCCTCACGACTGTCCTCTACTCCTAACCATCGAAGCTCTCCCCGACTGTCCGCTTTCCTGTCCAGCTGAGTTCTACTTCTAGTCCTATCCAACGGTCGCTTTTATTTTTACAAGTCCTGCGCCCCTAGAGAAGAGATTCCTTCCCAGGGCTTTAATCTTAATCCCACATCTCAGGCACTTGAATTTCCCACCGTCTAAATGGTCATAAACCAGCAGCGTAATGGTCATCCCGGGGCAATCTGATATGCTAGATCCCTTGGTCAGTTTCAGTTACCGTGATTGGGATTCACCCCCACCCCTGTACCACCCAGGTGGCACACAGGTCTGAGCACTCCACAAAATTGCCTATGACAAGCAGCCCATGTTCCTTTATTATATTTTGAAGATTTATTATTTAGCTTCATTTATTAAATTAAATATGAGACATGTCCTTAGTCTTACTAACATACTTAATATAACAACTATTTTTATAAAATTTTCTAAATTTAAATTATTGAACTGACTGAACTTGCCTCCAAAAAATGATCCGAGCAATATAAATTTGCGCTTATGTCTTTTTACACAGCTCCACAAGCGAGCTAACATGATTTTATTTCAAACAAATGCTGATTGAAGATGCATAAAATTAGAGTTTCAAATGCTCATCCATAGGAACATTAATATTATAGTTGCTAGTATTTGTATTTTTGTTATTGTGTCGAGACTAGCAGGATTGTCGGATGAGATCTGGAGTGTCAGAGTTCAATTTTTTTTCGAAGTGGCTGCGTATACCGGGCGGTGTACCTAGCAAAACGATGGACCTAGGACTGCACACATAGCGGCAAAAAGTTACAATTACTTGGTCTCGTCTTGAGAAGTCGCTGTCAGATAATATGATCTTGTGTGGTCTTTTGGTAAACGCTAGCTGATATCATAAATGGTAATCATTTCCCAGATGCTGATCGAGTTTTAATATGGTGAAATCGTCGTATGCAACAAATGTATTATTTTATTTTGTATTAAATTAAACATAGGCCTACTTTATGTGTCGATTATTAAGAGTTTAAACAAGTTGTCCCGGTCTTTAAACTCATAATTAATAATTATAAGCCGTTAAATTGGGATAAGCAAGCCATACTCCTGGCTCCCAAAAACGTTTTAGTGAAACCAATGTCAATGATTAGCACAAACTCTTGGGCCAAAGCAAAGTGCTGATATTTGCAGTGATGTGCTATCCCAAGTAGAGACCGACCGAAAGTGATTTTCTGATTTCGACCGAAGCCGAAAATAGGCCGAAAGTTTAAAATGACTTTAGGCCGAAACCGAAAATAGGCCGAAAGTTTAAAAATGACTATCTGCCGAAACCGAAAAAAAGGCCGAAAGTTAAAAATGAATTTCGGCCGAAACCGAAAATGAAATATTAAGATATTTTGAAATTCGTCCCGCATACATTCTGCATACATCGAAAATGATGTGGGAAAGTATAAATATTTCATTCTTTTTATAAAAAATGAGATAATCGTGAATATTAATAAATAAACATCTAATATAGGGGTCTCAAACTCGCGGCCCGCGAGCCATTTGTGACCCGCAAGACGATATTTTGCGGCCCGCTACATGACAGAAAAGTTTAGTATAAACGCGCCGGCCCGTTTCCCCATTCTCATATCTATAACGTGACTCTCGGCGACGGTTTCAGTCGAATCTCACCGACTTGTCTAATTCTGATTTTTTTCTTCTTCATATTCCTATATATTTTTGTATGCAACAGTGAGTAGGTGGATGAAAGTGAATCCTAGTTCTTGAGAACCCTTAATGATTTTTTTGTTATTTATAAAGGTTGAGCAGATTGTAACAGTTGTAATCGCTTTTTGTGTGGATTACTTGATGCGGCCCACTCTCATTCAGACACTACCTCCTGCGCCCCCCTCCCCTGATGTTTTGAGTTTGAGACCCTTGATCTAATGAATACTTTGGATTTTACCATTTTAATACAGAAGTAATTTAAATTGCTTTACAATTTTTTTTTAAAATTAGTATGGTAGGAGAAAATTTGGCAAAAATTGGGGGGAGGGGGGGGAGAGAAAATTAATGCAAAATATTATTTTTTAAAACCAGTTCTATAAAAATTGTGGTTCTAAAAGATCGATTAATTTGTTTTTGCATTAATTTTCTCTCGAAAATTAATGCAAAATATTATTTTTTAAAACCAGTTCTCTAAAAATTGTGGTTCTAAAAGATCGCTTAATTTGTTTTTAAAGATCGTTTAGTTCGTTGTTATTGATGGGTTAGTTTGTTCTTAAAGATCGGTGAGTTTTTTCATAAAGATCGCTTAGTTTGTTCTTAAAGATCGCTAAGTTTAATGTTAAAGATCGTTCAGTTTTTGTTAATGATCACTTTTTTATTCTTAAAGATCTTTAGTTTGTTCATAAAGATCGCTTAGTTTGTTGTTAAAGATCGCTTAGTTTTTTCATTAAGATCACTTAGTTTGTTCTTAAAGATAATTCATTTTGTTCATTAAGATCGATTAGTTTGTTCTTAAAGATCTTTTAGTTTGTTCCTAAAGAACATTTAGTTTTCTATTATTAAAGATCGCTTAGTTTTTTCTTATAAATCATTTAGTTTACTATTAAAGATCATTTGTTTTGTTCTTAAAGATAATTTAGTTTAGTCTTAAAAATTGTTTAGTTTGTTCTTTAAGATCGTTTAGTTTGTTATTAAAGATCGCTTAGATAGTTTTTAAAGATCGCTTAGTTTGTTTTAATGTCGTTTAGTTTGTTGTTAAATATCATTTAGTTTGTTCTCAAAGATCGCTTAAGTTGTTCTTAAATATCGCTTAGTTTGTTGTTAAATATCGCTTTCGCCGCGTATTAAATGACCGAAAACCTGAGTCACTTTCGGCCGGATGGCCGAAAGTCTACGTCAATTTCGGCCGAAACCGAAGAAAAACCGAAAATTAACTTTTCTTTTTCGGCCGAAACCAAAATTAAGCCGAACGTTAACTTTTCAGTTTCGGCCGCAACCGAAACTTGGCCGAAAGTGATAAAATGGCCACTTTCGGTGCCGAAGCCGAAATTCGGTCGGTCTCTAATCCCAAGTCCCAGGTTCAGCCAGCATGATCGGGGATCTTATATAGCCTATATTCTTCTATATATTAAGGGGCCACGATCAATGTATTGATTATTTTGACTCCTATGCATGTAGAGGGGATTTGCAATGTTTCTGTACCTGGTGTTGATGACAATATTTCACTGCATGCAAGGGCTACTTTGTGAGGGTATAATGCACTGGGGGGTTGGACGGCCTGAGGCAATAGACGCAAATGTGTCAAGTGTTATCGCCTCAACTGTTCCTTTTGAAAGCTTGTTCCAGTTCCTGATTGTCTTTAACAGGAATGAGCAGACTGTATAGCAAAGCAATAGGTCTGCGTTAACTCTGTTCATATCCTATTTCGTTTCCAGAGGGACATGGCATGTGCAGGGATTCACGTGGGAAAGGATTATAGCTATCTAAAAATAAAGGGGGGGGAGGGGTTTGTTAAGAAATCTATCTGTGCTGGAGGGGGTGGAGTTAGGGGCATATCCGTTGCGTGGGCCCTGTACACCTGCTGCTGCAGGGTGCCTCTGATATTTAAGGGGGCCCTCGGATATTAAGGGGTACAAGTGATGTGGTACAAATTTAAACTGTCAACTACAGGGGGAACAAACCCAAAATGTGGCAAGATGCCTACACAAGTCACGCGACGGCTCTGACTAGGGGTTGTCCATAAGGAGCGGCCGCAAAAAAAAAAACAAAAAAAAAAAAACCGCTATTTCCACTCTTCACCCTTGTCTGCATGTTATTTATCTCACTCCCCCGGAGGTTTAAAGATGTCGACAGGNGGGGGGGGGGGGGTGGGTGTATTGATTTTCCGATTTTTTGCGAGCAAGTGCGTATGGCGGTGAGGGAAAGTACGTATCCCTATATTTATTAATTATCCTGAATTTCTGACACTCTATAATACCTCTGATAGTTCGTCTGTCGAAAGTCGACCATGACCATTCTTAGCACCGGTCTTGTGTCTGGGATGAGTCTGTCTCGCAGATGGCTAATCAGGCCAATTCTGGCCCAAAAAGTTCTGGTGCAGCATTGCAGGGGATGGATGGGGCAACTCCAGGTACAGAGTTCGCTTGGGCTTTTCTGGCTTGTCTCTTGTGTTCTGCAGCAGCTGATTTGTCAGCTTAATTTTTCATTGATGATTGAGCCCGAGTCTCGATTCCTTGAGGAAAGTTCCCATATGTCCGGATCAATGTGAAATTATTTCAAATGTGCTTTCAGTGTATCTTTAAAGCGTTTCTTCTGTCTCCCAGCAAACTGCTTGACAAATAATATTTGGGCAAGCGGTCGTCTGACATTCTCCCAACATGAAGTATTAATAAGGCGTGTGTGCCGGGGAGACCTGCTCGTGCGAGTACCTCAGTGCCTGGGATCTTTTCCTGCCAGTCCTGTTTGTGCAAGTACCTCAGTGTCTGGGATCTTGTCCTGCCATTTGATGTTGAGGATTTATAGAAGGCTCATCGCGTGAAATTAGTGGGTTAGTTTCCTTGCATGGCATTGATAGACTGTCCATGTTTCACATGCATATAGTATCGTTGGGAGCACAGCTGCCTTTTAAACCTTTATTTTAGTTTGGGTGTTGATTCATCTCCTTGTCCATACATTCCTAGACATGTTTCCAAATGTTGCACTAGATCTTACAATTCGAAGGTTCACCTCATCATCAATGGTTACGCATTGTGACAGTGTGCACCCGAGGTAAGAGAATCGGTTTACACTTTTAAGCCTTTAAAATCCATGATATTTGTGTAGCCGAGTGGTAAGCGACAGCGTGCAGTTTTAATATATATTTGGTTTATAAACTAAGTAAAAGGCAATGAGTACTATAGCCTTTTATTTGTTCTTAGAGTGTTGTTTAAAACGGAATTGCTCTCCCAATGAGTAGGAAATTTGGAATGAACCCAGTAGTGACATGCGAGGTATTCTGTTACACCTGTATAAAGTCCGGTAAAAACGTCAGTCACGGTTTAATTATATACGTTACAATAAAGTATTAGTTTATTGGTTTAGGTCATTTTCAGAGTATGACAAGTATTACATTAACATAACAGCATGCGTTCTACAATGATATGACAGTTGTTGATATGCGCCAAGTTTACATAGACTGGCCACCAGTATGCAATTAGGGATTCTACTTTGTGGTGCTTGGGTTAAACGTATTGCCATGCATTAAGAGTTACATAGACCTGTGTGCGCATTTGTGACTAAACATAAATTATAATTATACACATATTGTTGATTTGTGTTTTTACACTGGCGTGATATCACAACAGTAATAGTTAGCCTCGGACAACTTTAATTTCAAGTCCACAATACCTGACTATGTGTATAGCATATTTGTGATCTAACCGGTAATTATTTCGTAGGACTGAACCAAACAGACACACTGGCTAAAAATGAGGTGTCTTGACCCACGACACAAATTTTAGCACACAACAGTGCTCCCAAAGCATTGTTTTATCCCCCCCCCCACACCCCAACTGATCACATAAAATGTTTTAATAGCATCCCCAACATACAAATTAGTGGGGTGACAATAAGAGGTCTGCATGCTGCCGAAAAGAAGACTTAAGTTCAAACTAGTTGCCTTTTAAAAAAATAATATTAATTTATGGCCTTAAGATACACAATCGTATGTTAAAACTGGAAATAAGTGAAAATGTATTTGAATTGTAATTAATTTAAGTGGTTAACTTTAAAAAATCATGTTTAACATTACACCCCCACCATTTTGACCCCCCCCCCCCNAACAACAAAATTTCCTCTATTGCAAAGTTTTAGCTCAAGAAAGGGTCCCCAACCCAGGGTGAGCCAATATATTGTCACGAACACTCTCCTTTTCGCTAAAAATGACGCCTTTCCATTCAAAGCAAAAAAGTGATGCCCAGGGCAGACCGCTTCGCCTGCCCCCTTATCTTGTCCCATAGACTATAGACAATTATATTATATGCCCTCCTATTAATTACAAAGTGCCTCCCTGTGTGGGTACGCCACAAGCATGGGCGCCCGCAGGGGGGGGAAGGTGGGGCACTTGCCCCCCCCTGGATTGATTGGATACAATTTTTTAGACAAAAATAGACAAAAAATGTATTAAAGTAAAGAGAAAATAAAGAGAAAGTAACTAAGCTGATGTCCTGTCCGTTCGTTCACCATACAAATACCCTACAGTAAATTAAAACTACATTAAAACTTTGCCAAACATTTTTTGCCCCCCTCTAGAATGGTAATTAATTTTTTGCCCCCCCCCCCCCCTAGAAAGCTTTCTGCGGGTGCCCTTGGCCACAAGTAAGGGAATATAATTCGTTTTTCTTTCTAAGGCCAAAGAGTCAACGACTGACAAGACCTTCGATGTTCTGCGTGTACATAGGCCAAAGTCAAAGGATTTGCAGGTACACCGACGCGGTTTATGTACTGCAGGCTTTTTAACCATTTTTTTTTTATTCCCCTTCACTGTCAAAAGATTTCTAATCCTTTGCGGAGAGCTATTACTACTATTAGTATTATGGTAAATTTTGTACATATATACATTTTTTAGTATCAAAATCCATTGGCATTATATTTTGGCTTAGAAAAACGCTGAGCGTTCTGGGAATTTAGGTTGGTACTTCAATTTCAATTTTAATTCACCGCAAAAATTATTATTATTCACACTTCCAATAAAACAAATAACAAAGGGTCGTAAAACAAATGTTCTTTTGAATGAAAACGTTTAAGTTTAAGCTTAACTCAACGCAAAAATGATTGTACATTGTAATTTACATTGTACATTATTTTACATTTCCATTAAAACACTTCACACTTCAAATAAAACAAATGTTCTTTTGCATTAAAACATATTTACTTCTTTTAAAGTCCTCTGCTACTGTGGTGGACCTGGTGGTCAAATTTGAAAAATATCGTCTAAGAGTGGCGTTGAATACATTTAAACCATTCTCTTTAACGTGTCGACGCAAAATGAACCCACACATATAAGAATCGAGCATATGTCTGTGTGTGTCATTGTTTCTCTCTTTTGCCAATTTCCAAGTATGTTCGTCGATGCGTTGAGTATTGGCATTCCAACGAATTCAAGGTGTCTACAGAAGCAGTTGTATTTATTAAACCATATATCAGATATAACTGCATAGACATAGAATAGCAGTATCGGTAATGATAATTTTTGCGGCGCAAAAAATTGCGGTGAATTAAAATTGAAGTGCCATAAGGTTTATTTACGCTAGTTTGGCAATTTAAAAAAAAAGTATTATTCGAAATTAGCAACATTATGGGTTGTTTTGAACTATAACATTTAAAGTGTTAACGGAAATTTTAATTGAATTAATTTTAATTAATATTGAATGACATGGACATGATAGTATTAGCACTAGTGCTATTATTAGTATGATTGCTTGTATCTTATATATTATAAGTCTAAGTTAAAGTCTAAATTTCTTAGAGTCTAAGACTAAGAAGATGATTATGCCTTAAGGCATTTCCATGGTTTAAGTCTAGTTCTGTATTCTGATTGATTAGGTTTTTATATGTTGCTATGACTATGCGGTTTGTTTTACTGACTAATTCAGGAAATACATTCCAATGTAATGTCAATTCAATAATGTTATTCTTTTTGTTGTTAATATATATTTTGTGCTGTTAACTAATTATTTTTTTTTTTGAGGTAATAGTTTTTGTATAGTTAACACCTGAAAACTTTTTTTGTTTAAAAAAAAAAATCAAGATCTATTTTACGGAAATCACTTCCATATTCCCAAACAATTTCCCAAACCAATATTAATATATACCAGTGTGTAAAATTTCTTATGTTTACTAACTGTGGTAAAAGTAAACTGGTATATAGGTAGTCCAAACACTTCCATATTCCCAAACAATTTCCCAAACCAATATATACCGGTGTGTAAAATTTCGTATGTTTACTAACTGTGGTAAAAGTAAACGGTATATAGATAGTCCAAACAGAATATTTATTCGTCTAGTCTTTAAATTTAACTAACTGTGTGAGCCCTGGTGACAGCTCAAGTGTTACTATTGCTATGCTCTCTGATATGGTACTACTAATACATTGCAATCGCAGAGTGAAGGGTTCAATTTTATTTTTTACTTTTGTTTTTACTATTTTTCACTGAAGAAGGCTTCTTGCCAACATCATTGGAGTGTTGTGTCGTTTTCTTCTGGTTTTACCCTTACTTAGTTTCCTTTTATTTAACCTCTTTTTAGTCTCTCCCTCTGACTCTTATCACCTTTTTAAATATTACCAGCAATATTTAACTGAACTAATTGTGAGAGTCTAAAAGATTATTTGGCAAAAAATGCATAACAATGCATAAACAGTTACAATGAAATTGCCTGGAAGTACATGATAAGTTACAATGCAATAAAATGTTGGCACATTTCCTCACGCTACGATTTCCAACCAACATTGAACAGTAATATGTTCAACTATTCCTCACTTTTATCAAAGTGGATCATTAAATCCGATCAAGCTGTGGCCAGTTGTGCTACCGCTGCTTACATGACCTGGCGCCGTCCTATCTGAAAGAGCTGCTTACGCCTTATGTACCCACTAGAGAGCTCCGCTCATCCGATATTGGCAAACTCTCGACATCACGTGTTTGCCTTGAGACTTACGGAAAGCGCACTTTCGCATTTGCTGGTCCAACTATTTGGAACGGCCTTCCTGTCGATCTCAGAAACAATCAGACACTGGAGTCCTTTAAAACAGATTTAAAGACACATCTATTTCGCAAACACCTTCTGGGATGATTGTCAACCTTATTTTCCAGTTAGTGCATAATGGCTGTGTTGCTTGGGGTTGAAATGGCTAGAAAGACTCTGCAATTGTATGCTAGTAATTAGTTTTTGGATGGTTGCGTTTGTTTTAAATGTGGTAAATTATAGATTTGTATTTCGTTTACTTTGTACCGCGCTTCGAGCCTTTGGGGATGAAGCGTGTTTTTGAAATGAACTTTATTATTATTATTTGTGTGCTATCCAGTAGCACTCTCACAAAATCGTATTGAATTACACAATACTGGTACAAAACTCTTTGGCACTTAAGACTGAGTTACTCTAATAGAAAAGTAGCAGTAGTGCTAAAAACAAAATGAGTTACTCAGCCCCAACTCTAAATTAAACCGATTGAGTACCATATTGACTATTGAGAAGACTTCTGAATTACCAACTGTTGTAAGTTGTAGACACTGTTACTGTTATAGGGTAAAAGTAATTAGGCGAATAAATTATTTTAAAATAATATTTGATATACCAGGTAGAGCTTAGTTTAACCAAGGTTTTGTCTAAGGCTGTGCGAAGGAAAAACAGCGCTCTGTTTCATCAAAAACTTATATAGGATTACATACACACACACATGGGCACCCGCAGGTAGTGGCAAGGTGGGCCACTTGCCCCTCCCCCCCCCCCGTGGTGGATTGATTGGATAAAATTTTTTTAGTCAAAAATAGACAACAAATTTATTAAAGTAAAGAGAAAATAAAGAGAAAGTAACTAAGTAACTAAGCTGATGTCCTGTCCGTTCGTTCACCATACAAATACGCTACAGTAAATTAAAACTTTATTAAAACATTACTAACAATTTTTTGCCCCCCCCCCGGAAAGTTACCCGGTAATCGATTTTTTTGCCACCCCCTAGAAAGTTTTCTGCGGGCGCCCATGCACACACAGACTATTTGTGAAATTTAATTTCAGAAACTTTGTACAAAACTGGATCTCAATTTTTTTTTTTAAAATTGTTATCTTAGATTGGTAGGCTGAGGAAACAAGGAAAATGGGTAAACTTGCAAAATTAACATCTTGGTTAAATCCAATCGAAATATCAGTGACTATTATTGCTCCTTAAAATGAAGTAGCGTCATCTCATCCTCTATTGGATCCAGCCATCTAATTCCAGACAATACCATTACCTATTTCCTCTGCTGGGGAAATGTAAAAACTGAAACACACAAAACTGTGTCAGAAAACGAGAGTGTGATTCACCACACTGATCCCGGGCTATGGAATATTAAGAACACTTGTACGGTTGAGTACTGGATTCGCCATGAGCAGTGGCGACACTACACCAGGTCCCGCCGGGTCCCAGGACCTGGTAAAAAAACTTGGGAATGGCAAGTATGTAAAACTTGAATGGCTTCTCTATTCACCAAACCAAGGTGTTTGTATTGTTTTGCATGTCGTCTATTGTACAAAAAAGTATTTCCCTCTGCTATATCAGGATTCCATTATTGGAAACATAACAATAGTATTGTAGAACATGAAAATTGAGTAGTGCATTGCAAGGACGTGACTGCATATTTGCTTGGACTGAAAGAAGCTAGGTGTTTAGGTCCTTTATGAATCAAAGACCATAGGTCAAAACAGAAGTACTGGCATCAAGTTCTGACTCGTGGGGTTTATGGCGTTCGCTTTCTTGGCTCCAGAGGTTTGGGTCAAACTATTGGGTCAGTAGGCAATGGACATTTTTAAAGGTGTTGAGTGAATGTAATCCTTTTTTTGGAAGAGCGCCACAAACTATAATGGAAATGCTGGAAAGGACAACACATCATACCGGTCTGCAAATATTTGAGAATAATTTATTGATCTATTGTGGCAACATGTCCTTTGTCCTATTCTGAAAAAAATTACAGAGTCAAAGTATTATTCAATAAGTTATGATTCGACTTCAGACATTTCACACATTGATCAACTGACATTTACGGTCCGGTACATTCGAGGATGTAAGTCTGTGGGACGTTTTATCAAGTTAATCTTCATATTTTCCCATGGAGCAAAGGATCTAACAGACACTGTTTGTATCAAAGGATCTAGCAGACAATGTTTTGGATTTCCTGAATGAGAACAAAATTCCACCTTCAATTTGCTGTGGTCAATCGTATGACAAATCTTTACATTTCAATGTCTATGGACGCTACACTGCGTGGATTGCAAGCATGGCTGCGTCAATGGAACGAGTTTGCCGTGTATGTTCCTTGTGCTGGACACAGTCTGAACTTAGTGGGCTTAAAAGCAACAAGTTGGAAAATTCTTTGACTTTCTTCAGCGCCTAAATACCTTTTCTCAGCTTCTACACATTGATGGAATGTTCTGGTATCTTCCTTAGTAAAATCTCTCGTTGTCGTAAAGCATCTGTCTGACACAAGATGGTCGGCACATTTTGATGCCATCAACGTTTCGAAAAAAATACAAAACGCTCTGGACTCAGCTGACACTGATCAGGAAAAGAAAAACGAGGCGTGAGGCAGAAAGACTAAGTACTCAAATTGACAACCTGATAATTTATCATAACATGGGATGAATTATAATGTATTTCTGATCTTATAAAAACCATTATTGAATTGGAATGTTTTTGCTTTTGTTTAAATAAGTTGAATTAACCTATTTGTAACTTTATTGAATGTTTATTCTTTACAATTTTATTCCTCTTGGTGATTTGGGATGGGAGCAACAACTGTTTGCGCCCCCCCCCCTATTGTTTGAGCATGGGGCTAGTGCCCCACTCCCCCCCCCCTTTCTAACGACCATGGTGTCTTGTGTTGCTGGGGGCCCCAGTGCATTGCTGTGCCCAGGGCCCCCCATGTTCTTAAGACGACCCTGCTGGTCAGAACTGTTGGCGATCGTCCTATACACTGCCGTGCATGTCTTCCGCGAACAGTCTTACTTGGGATGTCAGCTTTTTGAGTTAATGCAATGTAGTAGTGTGGTGTGTAGGTGATCTTGGATGAATACGTCACGCAGTATGTCTTCTGGGAGAATGCCAGGTCGTGCAGAATTAGCTAACATGAAGATGTTGCGCAATTCTTTCGCATAATCCTCGACAGTTTCCCCAAGGTATTTTTGTCTACGGTAGAATGCGGCCGCTACAGTTGTGACGTCACGATGATCACCCCAGTTATGCAAAATCAAGTGCAGTAGTTTATCTGGAGTGTCTATCGTAGGAACAGCTTGGTCCAAAATGTCCTGACGAGCACGTCCCTATTATCCAGATGACCGCTGAGGTTGCGGGCATCGGCTGAAGTTGCAGGAATAACCTTACTTCCTTCACAAACTGCTCTGCATTGCACTCGCCATCAAATTTAGACAGCTTGGGTGGACTGTTGGCTAGGTGAAACTGCTCTACTGCACTTTTCTCCATCGGTCGGTCTATGTGTGTTCTGTCTATGATTGTGTTACCTTTTCTTTAAAACTGTCCTCAAAGAATCCTGCCGACAACGCCAAAACTGTAGCCGAGTGGTAGTGGTGACCCTGCCGACGACGCCAAACATGGTTTTCGTAACGGGTCTAATAGCGGGTTGGGGCATACACTGCCACACAATATCATCAAAAATTTGAATTTGACAGTACGTGTTGGCAAACTCCAAACAAAGCTTGGCAAACTCCAAACAAAGCTTGCCAAGCGAAAGTTAAGATGGGGAAAAAATGTCAGCATCAGAGTTTGTGTCGGCAGCCATGAATTGTCCCGTCATTTTAAGACGGTGGTGTGGCCCGTTATGTTTGTCCCCTTGTGTAAAAAAACCAACCTGGATGTTATTAGTGGATCCACTGAACAAATTTCGCCTCTGAGGTTTGATGATTGGATATTTATATAGTGCTGGTATCCATGCTACTTTAGCATGCTCACTGCGCTGGTATCCATGCTACTTTAGCATGCTCACTGCGCTGGCATCCATGCTACTTTAGCATGCTCACTGCGCTGGTATCCATGCTACTTTAGCATGCTCACTGCGCTGGTGTCCGTGCTACTTTAGCATGCTCACTGCGCTGATGTCCGTGCTACTTTAGCATGCTCACTGCGCTGGTATCCATGCTACTTTAGCATGCTCACTGCGCTCGGGTTTTCTTAAATCTATTTGAACAAAAAAGTTTTAAAATGTTTCTTAAATGATTTTTTTTTATCATTTTCAATTCCTCTCAAAGATTGAGGCAAACTGTTCCATAATTTTGGCGCTATCGCTTCAAAGAGCGCACTCCGTAAGACATTTTTCTGTGTTAATCCACACTGGAAATGTTCAGTAAGGATCGTCTTGAAGACCGCAGGTTCTTTAAGGATACATGTTTATAAATCAGTTCTTTAAGATACCTATTCCGGTGCAGAGCCTTCTATGCATCTGTACCCAGGGACAGAATTTTGTGGTAAATGCGCTCACTATCATTATCCTCATCTTCTGTGCAATTTTCACAACTATCTTTTAACTCAAAGGAGAAGCCGGAAACTGGGATCTCAACTCTTGAAGCCTCTTCATCAAAACAAATCAACTCGTCTGACCTTGACCCAGGAGTGTTTGTGAATTCGGTCAAAATGTCACCCCTACGTCATCTAATGGCCGCTACCTGGTTACGATCTCCACTTCTTGTTTACGAAAGGCGTAGCTTGTCCAGGTTTTAGTTTGACTCATTTGACATCGCTATGTTGAAGCGGAAGGTGATTTACCTATTCAACACCCGTGGGCGTGTTAACCATAGGCTCGGGTATCTAGTAATTCTCGGGCCTTTCATTAAAAAAAAAACAAAAGCAAAAAAAAACCTGTGAATTATCCACAATACACTAGGTTCTCAGTCTTCGCATCTGATGCAGTCATTACCCTCATCTAATTGACGGGACGAACCCAACTAACTAATAGCTATATGAGCTTGACTCAGGCATTGCCGTGATCTGGCATCTCACCTCCTCATCAAAAAAAAACCTGTGAATTATCCACAATACACTAGGTTCTCAGTCTTCGCATCTGATGCAGTCATTACCCTCATCTAATTGACGGGACGAACCCAACTAACTAATAGCTATATGAGCTTGACTCAGGCATTGCCGTGATCTGGCATCTCACCTCCTCATCAAAAAAAAACCTGTGAATTATCCACAATACACTAGGTTCTCAGTCTTCGCATCTGATGCAGTCATTACCCTCATCTAATTGACGGGACGAACCCAACTAACTAATAGCTATATGAGCTTGACTCAGGCATTGCCGTGATCTGGCATCTCACCTCCTCATCAAAAAAAAAAGTCTGAGCTTGATTAAGGATTACTTACTTCAGCTCGTTTATATCATGTTGAAGCAGAAGGTGATATACATGTTCAACGCCATTGGTGCCAAACAATTCTAAGTTCGTAATCAAAAGACTCAGGTGTATTTTCAGGTTTATTTTATAACCACAACTAACACCAATAAAGGCCAGGGCCCTACATGGGCTGTAGTGCCACTGATGATGACTAACACCAATAAAGCCAGTTTTCTAATCAATCCAACCAGTTTCGCTATCACTGGCCTCAGGTTTATAGCCGATATCAACGTCTCTAATACAAGTACAAGGTTCATAATCAAGAGCAACAGTTTCACGATCAATAGGCTCATGTTTGTAGCCGTTATCAAGGTCACTAATACAAGGTCCATAATCAAGAAAAACAGTTTCAATCAATAGGGTTTAAATCAATAGGCGTATAACATCATTTATTTCAGGTTCATAACATAACATAATATCACCATAAGTTTCAAATTTGGTGCAAGGGCTATAGTCATTTTGGACGTTATAAAAACTAACCCGTTTCTCTAGACGTTTCTCAGATTCTCCACAATGGTCCTCACATATACCAAAAGAAATTTTGTTAAAATCAGGATTGTCATTTTTAGTTTTATTTTCTATAAATTTTACTCAAGAATTGTTCTCTCGAAACCATTTTTAAATTTATTCCGATTCCCAGTAACTTTGATCCTCGTATATTTCCTCGGTTGAATTTGGTTAGCGTCTCTAATGTGTTGTCTTTAAATGAATTCTGATTGACTTTACTCTCAGGGAAGCTTGGTACCTCGTCCAAACACTTGGACCTTATTGTTATGTCTACTGCAGTAGTCGTGCGTTCATGTTCATCCTCAGTCTTTATAACTCCAGGAAAGGTGTTGATTTCATTCATTTATCCCCACAGTGCCGCAGCTAGGGTTAAAATAAGTCAGCAGTATAACAATGACAAGAACAAAAAACAAGTTAAATGAAGGTCAGGAGGTAACATCTTTTTAAAAATGTGACATGTACTTAGAATCGCCCGACCACATCGTAATTGATATCAATAGAAAGCTTTATTTCTTAGAATTTAGATGCACATAGCTTCCTGTCACTTAAGAAAGTTACCGAACACTTCAATCGGCGTTGAGTCGTGATCAAAACGCTGTTTTTCTAACCGAATAATAGCTCCACCTCATTTCTGACGCATCAACCTTGATATTTGAATAAAGCACGTATTTGGATTGGTTACATCTGTGAGAAAATGGACGTTTGACCGATTATCCTTTTATTATGCAATTGGTTAGACATAGCATTGTGCATTTTTTCAATTTAGTGTCACCACTTGAGATGGTGTCACCCCAACTACGCAACTAAATCCCTTCATTAAATATTACTTTCGTAACCGGTATATATTTTTTTTACCACCGATTCCGATGGCTTACTTATATGCGTAGGTAGATCCAAACATTTTTCTCTTCGATTCTCTCTTGTTCTATTTCATGTTCCCCTCCGCGAGAGTTTCTAACACTTACGTTTCTTTTCTAGTTTAATTGTATGTTCTCGTTCCTCCGCCCCTTCCCTTTCTAACTCGGCCATCTTCCTCTATGTTTGAGTTCTCTTTGTCTTGTGTGGCGCTTCGCTCAGGTCGACCCTGTTGATTACGGCCATGGATGGTTCTGTTGTGGCGGGCACCTAGGGTTGCTGTGGCGTTAGCCTTATAGGCTGGGCTTGTTGGTTCTGTTGGGCACCCACTGTGGATGATGGCTATGACTGGTTCTGTTGGGCTTTGGTCCCAAAAATTGGCCATGGTTGTGGCGGACAAAATGCTGGGTTCAGCTTACAAACGTTTGAGAGTTCCGCGTACCTTAGGTCAGGCCACAATTGTTGATGTATGTTAGTTAGGACACTTTTGACGAGCTCCTCTTTGTGGCCAATGATACAATACTTGGTTCTGTTTGGCCGGGCCCTCACTTTGGCCAATGATTATGGCTGCTATTACTAATATGGCACTTTTGACAGGCCCTGGTGTACGTTGTCTAGGATTAGGTCCATTTGGGTAAGGCGTCCCCCCCCCTCCCCTTTTTCCTGAATTTACAGGTTTTATTTAAATTGCTATGTACTGTGGCGCTCCCAGTAATAAACAACTTAACATGCCGACCAAGTTTTTGTCTACCCCCCCTCCCCTGAAAAAAACATGAAATGACGCTCTTGATTAGGTCTCCTCCATATGGTCACATAAAACAATGTTACTAAGAGTCTAGAACTTTGTTTCTGTCTCCTCGGCCCTACAAGTACAAGGCTTATGTGTATAATTAATGATATTCACCCCCCCCCCCCCCCCCGCTCACATAATGTTCACAGCAAAGGTTTTAATCAACACTCAGACGAGGTCATACGCAGCTTAGTTCAATTTGTGATTTAAGTATTTAAAGGAAAAATATAACAGGAAAAAATATCTATGTTCACACACATAATAACTTAAACATTAGAACTACCAGTACGTCATAATCTGACTGACTGTGACACTTTTATGCCATGCACACACTAATTATATTCAAATACAACACATGAATATATAGGGCCTATTCCTATTTTTCTGCCAACAGAGTTTGGTTGGATGCTGGTAGTTCTTTTCATCAATCTTATATTTAATGGTTTTGTAATTTAAAAAAAAACAAAAAAACAACAACCCATAATGGAAATGTCTAGCAAATATCTATAAAAATTTATATGGATAGATTGTAGATTATAATTATATTATGTTGGGGAACACATTTGTCCGTAAGTTACATGTAACGGTAGTGGCGACGTCGCTACATACACAATCATTCACAATGCATATTATGTTAGTGATGACACTACACACAAAATTTATATGTTAGTTAGTGATGACACTACGTACATTATGATACTATGTAAATGTACACATTGTCTATTGTAGTGATAGTAGGCCTATACACAATGTATGGATATCTCATAGCTTTCAAATGTGATGTCTTAATTACTTTAAAAAATATCATTTCTTTGTGTTTGAGCACTGTTTTTCAGATAATCAAATTGTGTAAAAATATCTTTAATTCAAAATATCCAAAAGTCTTACTTATGTGATTAATCATAAGGAGACACAATCGTAAGTGGTATAGTATAAGGTAAGTATTATTTATTAGCATATCTTTCTAAAACTAGTCTCATCTGTACAAAGTGCTCTGGTCTTGGTGAGAAATCTTTGACCCAAATCAGAAGAGATAACATTTGCTGTTAAATACTGAACTTAAACTTGTCTAATCTGGTGGCGTTTAGCTAAGGTGATTCTTAAATCAGACTTAGGCTTGGTTGACTAGGCAAGTGGTGTCTTGCTTCAAGCTAATTAATTTATCTATATGATCATGTTTTATTATTATATTTTTATATTGACTACATTTCATTTTAACAAATCAATTTAATAATATTTTTAATCAACCTCATATTAAAATGTATTTTAATATACAAATGCTCCAATGTTTTCTCTCACAGAACTCAACAAATAGAAACTTGTAGAATCATCAATTATTTTGCAATGGCTTCCCCAAAGATAGAAGTGGCTGTAAAGAATTGTTGTCCCTCAATCGGAGAAGGTCCACACTGGGATGTTGCTACACAGTCCCTGTTGTATGTTGACATTATTTCTGGTGGGGTGCACAGATGGGATTCTAACACAGGAATTGAGGAAAAAATTAACTTGGGTAATTTTTAGTTACTGTAGTGTTAGTTATTACTTTGATCGTTAACAACGTAAATTGACTCTATTTTGATTCTGCAAGTGAGCCTGTAGTGATAGACACATCCCATCTTTGCTTAAAATTTTGTTTTAGTTTTGGAAAAGCATATAGGCAACTTATTTATACTTTTTTTTAAACAGCTAAGCTCTAACGATTTAATGTGGTCATGTGGTTTATCTATTTTTTTTCTCTCTCAAACCCTTCAATCCCTAAAACTATATGAAGTTGCCTGTACATAATGAAAACTGACACATTTGAAATTCTAACTATGGCCTACATAATTAGAAATGTAAATTAAGTGTATTCAGAAACCTGATTTAAGACATTGCAAAAGAAATTAGAACTTTAAGTATGAATCTTAATCAGCATAGATACAAATTACAGTCATCAGGTAAAATGAAAAGAGAGGGAAAGCTAGTTATGGTCTGGGCCAGATCAGGCACTCCAGAGCGGCCATCTAGGAGTAAAGGAAAATTGTTAGAAAGCTGTGGTGAAAGAGAAGTGTATAGGGTGGAAAATCATTATAGGTCAAAGTAGCAGAGGCGCTAGATCAGGCCCTGAAGCAGTGGTGTAGCTAAGGGGACCGCACTAATTGACACCATTTCAGGGGTGACAACAAACTGAAAAATTGCATAATTGCAGAGCACATACTGCTCAATCTATCCAAATTTCATATAAGGATGATCGATCACACATAAATTTTCCACACATAACCAATACAAATATATTGATGCGTCAGAAATTAGGTGACCTTATACTTAGGTCAACTGTTTTTACCATGATTCCATTGTGATTTAAGTGTAAGGTAACATTTGTAAGTGACAGCATGCTATATTTATCTAAATTCTGAGAAATAAAGCTTTCCATTGATACAAAATACGATGTATTGGGGCAATTCTAAGGACATGAATCGAAATGGTAAAAATGTTTAAAAAATGTTTTTTTAGCCATTTTTAGGGAAACAAAATAATATTTTAGAAAATTTTAAAATTTTTTTTGATAATTAATTAAAATTTATATAAATATAAAAACAAAAATGGTTTTTGAAAGCAAATATATCCAAACCCAGAAATGCTCAAAAATAATTTGTCACTAGCATCACCCCTTAACATTTGAGCTTGATTGTCATACAGCACAAGGTCTTTTACATGCTGTCTGTGATTTCACGTTTATCTGCTACCTTTTTCTTTGGGATGAACTACTTGAGGAAGCCGTATATATGTGTGTGTGTATATATATATATATATATATATATATATTTATACATATATATATGGCATCCTTCCTTCTTCGCAAATGATGGAATAGCTATGTAGTCCTACACTTTGATGAGTGGCTCACTAGGCCAATCCTGAAATGACAATTTTGACTGCATTATTCGCAGGAAAATATTGATTCCTGGTTAGATTTGGCCTTCCTTATTGTTGTTTTTGCTGTAAGGGCTTCGTTAAGCTCATCTTCTGCCTTTTTCACTCCTACATACACTGCTGTTCACCAGCTGGAACGTTGTTCGGCAATGATCTCTCATTTGTTGATATCCCTCATGCTCCTTTGGCAAACGTTCATAAATCTCAGGCAAGGCTGTCCTTTAAGTCTTGTCCCTTCTGCCAACTCTCCATACAGCAGCATCTTTGGGATACAGCCTTTCTCCATTCTCCTTACATGGCCTAACCAGCGAAGGCTCCTCTTGCTAAGAGCGGAGAATATGCTAAAGATTTTGTATGTTCCAAGACCTCTGTGTTAGGCAACTTGTGCTGGCATCAGATGCGTAAAATTAATGTGATGCTGACATCTTTGATGGAAGCTGTTGAGTTTCCGCTCATGACTGGTATATGTGGTCCACACTTCACTGCCATATAGTAGCGTACTAAGCACACATGCCTGATAGACACTTAGTTTTGTTTTTTCAGTTAGATTGAGACCCACTTATTCAGTTTAGCCATAGTTGCTGCTGCTTTTTCGATCCTGATGTTTATCGCTTCAACAACGGAGAGACAACTAGAAATATTGGATCCAAGGTATGTGAAATGCTCAACAACCGAAAGATTTTGACCTTTAATAGATACGATTGAAGGGGACGGTGCTTCTTGCATCATATGTGTTTTCTGTAGACTAATTGACAGTCCAAACTCTTTTCCAAGCGTGTGATAGACGATTAACTAGCCGCTGAAGACCTTCTTCTGTGTGAGATGTTAAGGCGGCATCATCAGCATACAGCAGTCACGTATTAGTACCTTTTTTACCTTGGTCTTTGCATAAAGGTGGGCGATATTGAACAGCCTACCTTCAGATCTGGTATGGATGTACACTCCATCTTCACAGTCCCTGAAGGCAATTTGAAGGTGCATTGAGAAGAAAATGGAGAAGAGCGTTGGTGCCAGTACACAACCCTGTTTTAATCCGCTGCTGACTGGGAATGTGCTGTGCATGTTTTTGTGAAATGACTTTATGACACAGAAGTATCTGCAGTATAAAGGCTCTGGGGCCATCCATAAATGCAGTCATGCAAATTTTTACGCTTTTTAAGCCCCCCCCCCTAAAAAAAAATCCCCCCCCCCCCCCTCTCTCTTTAAAAATCCCTCTGTCCACTATTGTCTATTGTCCTTTGCAAACCCTTGGAAATTTCACTTCCCATGGATATTGAATAACAGCACCTGAGTCAGAAACATTTTCCTAGAGCAGTGGTTCCAGATGTGACAGCACCCCCTGAGTGGTGGAAGACCCAGAAAATTGTATTTGCTGCCTTTTAAAAAATCAGTTTTTATTCCTTTGGATAAGCAGCAGTACCGTAAATGTTTTTGTTTGGGATATTACTTTTATTTTGTTCCCCTTGTTAATGTTAATAGAATTAATAGGCATTTAATTCAAGAAATTTTAATAATACTATGATGACTAAATTATTCTCATATTTTAAATGTTACTACAATATAATTTATAGAGTTTGGGGGTTTGGGGAAATGTTTAAAACCGAGTGGGACTGCAGTACTACAAAAAGGCTAAGAATTTCTGCCCTAAAACACTTAATGTCATACCAATCTGGAATTTCGGTAGACCGAAGATTAAGGTTGAAGAAGAAAGTTGCAGAACTATTTACCATGATCATGGGCTAATTAAGGCTTTCTGATCTGGCTCTACTATCAATTGAAAGTGATACGGTGAAGGGTATTGATTGTTGCTCAAGTGATTGACAGGTTTGCAGCTTTGAAAATTTTTAAATACTGTAAAGTAAATTTAATGTAAAAATAACCATAACAATGTTGTTATGAAATACCGGTACATTGAGCTCCTGACCTCCATTTAATTTGTTTTTTGTTCTTGTCATAGTTATACTGTGGACTTATTTTATCAAGAAGAAATCCATTGAGGAAGTCGCGGGAAGGGGGGTGACACCATGAGTTTACTGCAACGGGCGACACCAACCCTAGCTACGCCACCGCCCTGTAGTAAATTTATGTACCTGTACAAAGATTGAAAAAAAGTATTACTATTTAACCAAAAAAAAAATATTTTAATTGTGATAGTAATAATTTATAATGCAAATTTAAGGGAAATCTTTTATAAAATATACTACCTGTAAGTTAGCCTAGATATATTTCTGGAAATAAATGCATTAAGGGTCCACATTTAAAAAATTTTACCAAGGTTGTTATATACAAAGAATTTAATTATTTAAGTTTATTTTTCAACAATTTTTATTTATAAATTGACCTTAATTAACAATCTATAACTTTGTCCAACTTTATTTAACTCTTATATATTTGTTAGTTACCTCTTTAAATATAAAAAGAAATACAGGTGATCTGAAAATATGAGGACTTAGAAACCAACTTAATGTTTTATAACATAAAATGAAAAATTTTCTCTCTGTAACTTGCTTAGTTTTCATCAGACTAACAATTAAAAAAAAGAAATTCTAGAATTTCAAAGCAAGCAGACTTCTAAAATAATACCATACTAATTAAAATTTGTTTGTCAAACAATTCCGTATTATTTTTCTTAGATGGAACAGTTGGCTTTGTGGTCCCACGAGATGAAGGTGGTTATGTAGTTGGTCTCAACCGAACCATTTCACTAGTGGATTGGAATACAAAAGCTGTAACAACACTAGCTGAAGTTGAGCAGGGCTCAAAGAACAGGTTCAATGATGCTAAATGCGATGCCTCAGGTCGTCTGTGGGCAGGTGACTTAACTGTGTAAATATATAATTAAAACAAATACCAGAAATATCATAAACTCATTTGTTGTTGCCACGTTTGAATGTTTTTTTAATACCCGGTACTCATGAAAAAATTATTATTTTTTTAGTGTTAACAAGAGTGTAAAAAAAACTTGTTTCTTCATATATTCAGGAACTATGGGGTTTGAAACAGTTCCTGGCAAGGTAGATAGTGGTGAAGGCAACCTGTATAGCTTCTCTACAGATCGCAAATTAACTAAGCATCTTGGTAATATCGACATCAGTAATGGCATGGATTGGACTGATGACAACTCTGTGATGTACTACATTGATTCAGTCCCAAGAAAAGTTTTTGCTTTTGACTTTAACATTGAAGAAGGAACCATAAGTAAGCTTACAGTTACAGTCATATTATTAAATAATTTACCAGTACATATTTCTTTAAACTAAAAAAAATAATATATATCTAAACAAAGAAAATATTTGTTATTTTTACATGATTTACCTACAGACAATCAAAGAACTGTTGTTGAGTTTGAGCCCAACACTGATTCATCATATGGTCTTCCTGATGGAATGTGTATAGATGTCGAGGGGAAGATTTGGGTTGCTTGTTTTGGTGCCGGTCGTGTTCACAGATTTGACCCTGAAACTGGTAAAGCATGTTTTGCTTAAAAAAAAATTTGTGCACTGGTTTTCCTTTGATGGCTTATTATTAATTGTTTCACAGTTAAGCTTTTCTTTATATTCTGCATACACATTTATTTATACTTTACAAACATGATGTAACTGCAAGTCTCTTCTTTCTATTTGGATTCATTGTATTATTTTCACAGTTTTCTCAAGGGTAAAACTTTCAACATATTTATGTATGAATTAAATTATTTATCTGCAGGTAAAACATTACAAACCTTAGATTTCCCAGCAACCAATACAACATCTGTTTGTTTTGGTGGCAAACATTTAGATGAGCTGTTTGTTACTTGCAGTCAGTGGAGACTTCCAGAGGAAACACAAGATAAACAGCCATTAGCTGGATCAGTTTTTAAAGTTACAGGCCTCAATGTAAAAGGAAGGGCACCAAATAATTATAAAGGCTAAATGTCCCAGTCCTACATAGGCTGATAACATTTATTTTGTATTCAATTATGTGTTGAAATCAGGTGTTGATTGATGCTGTCTTATTTAAAATGTATCCATTTTTGATCATTTTTCATGGAGATTTTTGTTGACTAAATGCTGTGTTATTATTGCTGCTCAAGAGACTTAGATGCATTTATTATTATTGTTATAAATTAAGTTTTACATATTAGTTAACTATGATACATTGATATTTTCTTATACACACTTCCAACTTCGGTGACTTACCAGACTTACAACTTACATAGACCAAGAGTCTGAAACTAAGAGTCTTGGTTTACCACATCTGCATGCAGAAAAAGTATTTTATAGATAAATAAAAAAAACAAAAATGTTAACAAAGATAATTTCTTTTTGTGTAATCTTCAATAATTATTTTCCTTGTAAGGAAATCAAGTGTTGTTTTAAATATTGAAATTAAAAATGGGCTAATTAAAATGACTAAGTGGCTCTGTTTCAGGCCTAATGTTTCTCAGTAACTCTTAAAAACAACCACAGGCATTTGGATTTGTGAATTTTAAAAAAAATTTGTGATTATCAAAGCCTTAAATTCTATCCTACTCCAACTTTAAAAAAAAAATGTTTAATACCAGTAATTCTCAACTGTTTACTGGACTGACATTAACTATAAAAGGAAATTAGAATCGGCTATAACTTTTTGAAACCTACTTCTGCAATATTTGTTTTATTATTAACCAATAAAATTTTTCCCAATTTGATTTTGCCCTGTGCTTTATAGTTATTAAATCAGGTAAATATTTCAATGCATGTTTTTCATTTCACAACTTTTTCCAAATTGCAGTCCAATTTTAATGATTTTTTTAAGTGGAAAAATCTAGGTTTCAAAAATTGAACCATAAAACTGACATTTTTAAAGTAAAAAAGGGTTTAAATAAGGAACCTTTATTATGCTTTATCATGTTTTTAAAAAGATGCCTTACAAAACTATTTTTTTAAGAGACATGCCAAGTATATTATTGAGAAAAATTATGTCCTAATTTGCACTTCTATTGAAATTTCAAACCTGTGGAGTTACAAAATGATATTTATTTTCAGTTTTTAACCATCTAGATTTCACGTAATTATATTTGTATATATTTCTCATGTATTACACAGGTATATCAGGGATCAGTGCAAATTCTTTTTTAATAAATGAATTTTAAAATTTATACAAGTGCCTGTTTACATAATTTTTATCAAGTCACTATAAATGGTCAAGTTTATTTAATGAACCTGGTATTTCAAGATACCTGAGACATATTTGTTTGGCATAGCTAGGCCTATATTTTATAACCAAGAATGAATTTAATTAACTTTATTTAGTTCTATAAGTAAGAAATTAAACCAAATTTATTTTGGTTTTCAATTCACCATTGCAAATTTAATCTTAAAAATATCTTATCAATACAAAAATCTATTTAAATAAAACTACAGGCAAATGTGTAAAATTTATTATTATTATCTTTTTTTAAATTAAAGAAATATATTATTTTGCGCCAAATTTTTATTTCTATTTCAGTATTGCTCTATTGAAATACATTGCTTTATTACTTATCCATGTGATTTGATCTTGATCCATATTATTAATTATCTTGTATAAAATTATTTGTACATGTACTGTACATTCATTTTTCATGAGAGACAAAATGTAAAACTCCAATAAAATTGTGAAAGAATGTTTTTAAACAATTCAGAAGTCTTTTTTTTTTTAAGATCGATCAATCGGAAATTTTAAAAAATAAATTAACACACATCAGAAAATAATTATTTAATTTATGCTTTTTTAATTTATGCTTTTTAAAAGACTATCTTCTTACTCGCATTTCCATCTTTGAGTTTACACACGTGACATTTTAAAATTGAGTCCTTTTTGTACATTGTTCACCTGGTGAACGGCTTGGAAAGAATACTGGGTCCACACTGTCACTCAAATTATTGCAGTTGCCTGTGTCTGCTTCTTTTAGTGAATGGGTGCGTTGGTGAGCTCAGATCTACTTTTTAGTTCTTTGCCTAGTTAAATGGTTAAGTCACTTTAACCAGTTCAATGTTTAAAATTAAGTAATTATTTATTTCTCATTTTAAAGATTACAATTTTATTGCTAGAGAAAGTAGAAAATAAAAAAAATATTTTAAAATACTTTTAATAAAAGACATTCTATCAAAGACAAGTTAAAACACACTAAAAAGTAAAAAAATTCTTAAAATGCATCACAAAAAGTAAAGATCGTGTGCTAAAATATTTTCAAAAATTAATAAAGATAAAACATTAAAGTTTTGTCTAAATTTAGTTTAAATCCTTTGGATTCACAGAGCGCTCAACTACACAGTCTTTATTTACATAATGCATTTTAAATTATTTTCTACTTTTTAGTAGGGGTGTGCCGGAATCCGGTTCCGCCGGATTTTGCACTATCCTGTGAAATCCGGTTCCGCCGGATTTACATGTATCCGGAACAACGGGAATCCGGAATATACCGGATTTCGGAATTTGCCAGATTTTGTGACTCACCGGATCATAATCTGAAATAAAAGTAATTCTCTTTCCAGAATTCCACACGATCACAATACATTAATCAATTGTTTCGAGCGTTGAGCTTGTTTAATGTTTAATATTCCGAACATACCAGAGGCTAGAGTCAGCACCGCTAATAGTGGCCAATGACAAGACGAGATGAACTCAGATGATGAGTCTGACTTTCTCCTCAGATTCAAAACAATTAGTGCACTACAATAGTTAAAAATTACACTGCCAAGTGGCAAGTGCCAAAGTAATGAAAGTAATAGACTAATAGTAAAGTTGTTTTCCTTTGACCTTGCAGCGAGTTAGAACTTAACAGCGAGTTTAGTTACATATGGATAATAACTTATTATCAATCTGCGTTTTATTCTGATTTCAGTGATTTCTGAATAATTTCTATTTTCTAATTTATTTCAAAGTTCTTCACTTCCAACTTCCAATCAGCCAATGTCATTTAGCCATTTAGGCCAACTGTTCAGAAGGCATCCAACCCCTCAGATTTACCGGTATCTGCAAAGTACCAAAATCCGGGAGAAACCGGAATCCGGATTATTCTGGAATCCGGCGGATTTCGCATAAGAAAATCCGGATCCGGATGGAAAAAACGGATCCGGCACACCCCTACTTTTTGTCCCTTTTAACTCGCCTTTGGCAATCTTTTTTTAAAAGTTTTTTTTCTTCTATTCAATGGATATGTTAAAGCAATACAAAACAGCCTTATCAGTATCAGTTTAGTAGTCATTGCAGTGATGCTCACTTAATTTTAATGTGACATCTTTAAATTTAAAATGCATAGTAAGGCCTTTTAGGGTGACTGGATTGGCTGTGAGGTCAAGCATGTGAATACAAAACAGTTTGATCTCAAAACTTTCAGCGAAAACCCCACCATGGTGTCGTTGACAGATGCCCCTTCAAAAAAAAACAAACAATAATAGATAAAAAAGTACTGGTAGAATGGTTACTGATAGAAAGCTAACAATTTTATTGGATGAAAAAATTATATTAATAAATAAACAAAAAACAATAGGCTATAATTAAATTTATATTTAATGGCATTGACTGTAGAAATTAAATAAAATCCCTTTTTATACAAATGAAAAGGCTAATATTTGATATATAGTTTAAAGTATTTTCAGCTTGCATTAGAAAAACTTACAATTATAATCTTTTAACATATACTTCTAGAAAAAAATTAAGATTGTGAATCATATATCATTATACACAGAATAGAAGGCAAATTTAGAAATGAGTGGATAATTTTGCTATGCATATAGTCACAAAGAGTAATAATTTTATAATTGATAAAATTCACAGCTTTATTTTTTGAGGTATGGTGATAAATTGTGTCAAAATTGTGAAGAGACAATATCTTTCCAATAGATACAAACACATGGTATATACAAAATGTATAAAGGGATACCTACAACTAACAAGTGATCTTCAATTTAATTATTGCAAATAAATTTCCGACTTGAGTTGAAGTGAATTAAGCCTACAAATCAAATGCCAATAATTTTAAATTACACTTTCCATGTCAATAGTTTTGTTGGCTACATACAATATGATTATAATTCTCATGAAGAACTTCAAGTAAATAAATTAATATCACTTAAAACAGGTGGACATGTAAAATTTATCATTGACTCTAATGCATTCGTAATTTTAATAATTCCTGTGCTATTATAAATTTGGCTTTTAAGTTTGGGACTTCTGATAATAATGGTTAAAATTGGGACTAGTGAATTCTCTTCACAGTAAATAAAAATATATAGAATCAAATATCAGTAATACTTTGTTACCAGAGCTCATAATCAATTAACTACAATTACAATAACCATTTTTCATTAACTTTAAACAACGATTTTCAATGTGATAAAGGGTTGTCCATTAAGGACATCCACACAAAATACACTTTTCTGCCACCTCAACCCCCTGTCCACATTTGGCTTACTCCCCCACACCTTGGGTTGTGGACTGCAGCAGGCGCATACGGAAATTTACATTGCATTATGCCAGGCAGTATTATAATAATTATAAAGAGTAAAGAGCAACTAGATGTAAACTTCTAATAGCTCTAAGCTAGAATAAGGATCCATACATTGATTATGTAAGCACTGCCGGTGTGTGTGCACGTGGGGGGGGGGGGGGGGGTGGCGTTTGGGGATTATAAACCGTGGTGCAGAGGGCGGGGGTCGGGAGAAATAATGTACATTTAATTATTTAAACATTAAGGATCCATACATTCATTATGTAAGCACTGCCGGCGGGTGTGCACGTGGGGGGGGGTGTTGGCTTTTGGGGATTATACACACTGGTGCAATGGGCGGGGGTCTGCAGAAATTATGTACATTTAATTCATTTAACAATTATGAAATTCTGAAACTCCCTAACATGATTAATACTAATAAAGCCAATTGTCACCTACAGATCTGTGAAATCCATATTTAATGATTTTTTTTAAAGTCTAAAAAGAAATCATTGCAATGTTTTGTATTTATCAACATGCTGTTTCTTTGTGTGACATAATTTGTGATGTGATCATTTCGTTGTGCTCAACCAAATGGCTGCACAGGCGTAAAGAAAGTAGGGGACCCACGCACAAATTGGAACATGCTAATGGCAGTGCTTCCCAATTTTTTATTTTAATATGAACCCCGCCCCCCAACCATCCCCTAATTGGAGGGTAGCAACAAAAAAAAAAAAACAACAGTCTTAATATTTAAAAAAAATAAAATTAATTCTAGATTTGTAACATTTAGGCCTCAAGATTCACAAATCTAGGCTAAAACTAACAAAAACAAGTGAAACCCAGTATAGTAAAATATGAAAAAGATAAAGATGGTTAACTTAAAAGAAAATTATGTTTTAACATTCCCCCTTGCCACCTATAAATATTTTGAAACACATACATTTCTTATATCCCAGAGCTTTGGCATAGCTAGGGTTAATGCCCACCCCCATGTCAAATAAAATATTTTAGCCGCCAACACTTATGAAAATGTTGGTTAAAAAATGCAATCCGCCCATATAAGTCTGCTTAGGGCGGACCGCTTCTCCATTTCCTCCATTATTTCCTCTACAAATTACAGGGGGTGGGGGGGGGGGAAGGGGGAGGGGGGGGGTGTTCGCTTCTCCATTTCCTCCATTATTTCCTCTACAAATTACAGGGGGTGGGGGGGGGGGGAAGGGAGGGGGGGGGGGTGTTTTACTGCTGAAAATGGAGAGAGGCATCAAGGGGGAGGGGGGGTCTTATATTTTACTTTTTTGCACATGAAATATATGGATGGCCCCAAATATAAATAATTACATTGATGTCGACCAGAGAAAATTTTCACTTTGTTTGCATTTGTTGATAAATAGCAACCAAATATTTAGAGTTTTTACTAAAAAAAAGAAAAAAGATCAGCCATAGAGGAATACACACAGCGGAGCAGCGAATAACAAAATAAAAGCTAGCTTGTGGATATCCACAAGACCCATAACCCCCCCCCCCCCCCCCCCCCCCCCCCCGTCTGTATTTGCCTGCTTTTGAACAACCCGTCCATGTTCCTGTCTTTGCGGATGTCCTTTATGTACGATCCCTAAATTGGTTTAAGTTCCAAATAGAGCAATAATAGTAATGACATGAATGAGACAATATAAATGCATAATATATACATTGATGATATAATTTTCCATTTGTTATCAATAAAATTTATCAATCAGGATTATTGGTACTGACTTTGGAATTAATTTTAGATAATAACCCACGCAGAAGGTTAGAGAAAGGTGCATGAGTGTTTTGGTTATCCAGGTGCAAAGCCGTGTCAGCTGAAGGTGGTGGGGAGATAGGTGAAATCAATGGTAACCCAGGGGGTGTAGGTATAATAGGTGGTGACAGTTGTGGCAGATTAGCAGAGGTGCTGCCCTCTGAGAGGGATATTGGCAAAATTTGAGAGTAATTTGGAGAAGAAAAAATTTCTTCTGTCTTGATCATCTCATTGTTCCACAATCCTTGTCCAAGATTATTGCTCAGATCCTTGCTACTGCTACTTTTTGTCATATCTGTAACCATAGATTTTGAAGTTGGTTGACATTTATCAGATGAAGCTGTGGCTATCTGACCAAGAGCACTTAGGCCAGTTTGATTTGAAATGGACACTTGACGAGACAATGATTCTAGAATAGCTGAATATTTGGACTGGGGACTCCCAAGCAGGGTTGATGTCACATCATTACCCACAGACTGATTTGCTTGTTGCTCTTTATCAACTTGGGGTGATTTCAGAAGATTTTGAAGAAGGCTGAAGCTTTTCATGTTAAAATCTGATACTTTTGGAGCAGTCAGAAGGTTTTGTAGAACACTTGAGTGCGATGTACTTTTGTTAGGGTAATGTTTAAAAGTTGCTTCAGTATTTTCAGGATTAGCCAGATGGATGCCAGTGCTGTTTGCTTCATTATCTAAGTTTACATTAACACTGTGTTCGAAGTGAACAGGAACATCAAAATTATCTTCACACTCTTGAATCTCTTGTTTAATATTAAGTACTTCCACAGAAGAACTTTTACCCTGGCTGTGACATCTCATTTCTAACTCCAGGCCATGATCTTCAATCTTAGAATTAAGCAATGAACTTTCTAGGGATTGTTTATTAGAGCTCTGGACAATTTTCCCTTTCTTTGCTGCCATCAGTTCACAGAGTAAACTAACTTTTCCTTGATCTGAATTTTCTAGTGAAGCTAATATTTTGTGTTCTGCGAGTAAGAGTTTAGTTGTAGGGGTAGTTATAGATGTATTACAGGGGGCAGAAATATTGCCTTTACAAGTTTCTGCATCAAGTATTCTACATCTATGCACAGACCATTCTTTAGATGTCACTTGTGCATTGCATGAAAGACAAACCATTAGTACTCGTGCATCTGCCAAAACTCTATTAACAAGCAAAACACCAGCTACATTTTTAGGGTGGTTTGTAGCCACATGATAAGCAATTAGTTGAAATTTAGTTTGTGAAAAGTTGCACCGCAGGCAGTAGTAAGTTGTTGGAGAGGGGTCAAGTTGTTTAGCTGCAATGCCAAGGGAGACAAGAGCTTGTGAATAATCAACATATTCAACAGCACTGACATCTAAAAAATTATCCAGAAGTCCAGAGTAGCAAAGTTTGATATGTTCAAATATCTCAGACCCTTCTATTGAAAAGAAAGTGCATGAAGAATTTAATCCGCAACAAAAGTACAATAGACCTTCATTCTTATTTTCAAATATTGCCTGTGCAAAAGGGACACTATTTGGATGGTTTAAAATCAGGTGCTGTCGCATCACAGTTTTGTTCACAGTGCAGTAATTACATCTAAAGCACGCTAAACTAATTTTTGGCTGTCTGATCAGAGGATCCTGAACATCATGTCTGACCATCTGTAAACCACTACTAACATGTTCGAAGCTGTCTTTAACTTTCTTCTTTTCTTGCCTTTTATGATTTTGTACTGAATTTATTTTGTATTCACATTCAGACGTACTGTCTGTGTCCGAGCTGTTTTCTGATTCATAAACATAGTCTAAATCTTCATCATGTCTACATTTACGCTTGCGCGTGACTGGATCTGTCCCTTTATTAATGTTACTTTCAGAATCAAAGTTTTTTAAGTTTGGTGATAAGTGCAGAGAAGTAGTTTTTGGGAGTACAATACCATGAATATTAGAAGATAAATCCTCATTGTCATGGAATTCATGGTGAAACATGTTAACAGATGACATTTTGCTATTAAATTTATGATTTGGTTGTTTTATCTCATGTTTCCTGGCAACACCTTTAATAATATCACAACTTTTATTGGCCTCTGCAGTCAAAGGACTTGCAGTTTTTTTAATAGTGCTGTGAGCTGTCAAACTTTTTAATAATCCTGATGCTGAAAATTCACCAGAAGAAAATGAAGAAGAAGCTTCAACACAAGAATTATCAAGTGGTTCCTGTTTAACACAGTCATACATATCTGCAGACTCCTGAAGACTATCACAGTCTTTCATGTCATGATTAATCTGTTTGCAAATAGCCACATGAGCATCAAATTGTACCTTGTTGGCAGATTCAAAATTGCAATAGCCACATACAAGAAAAATGTTCATGTTTTTCTGTGATGGATTGAGGTCTTTGTTAAATTTAGCTGCTTTTGGCGAGTTGACTTGAGGGTGATTTCCAATAAGTAAATCCTTGAGGGACATGTCTGATGCCCTTGTCCGTAAATTCATTAAACTACTTGCGGTTCTCTGCCTAGCCAAGGTCACATCAGACATGGTTTGATTTGAAGTCATGGGAGAAGTGTTTCTGCTAAGAGGTATTCTTATTAGCTCTTTGGGATTATGAACAAAATGTTTCATGGTGTCCTTTGGCTTCTGTACTAAGAGATTACGCAGTAAGTCATAATTTTCAATTTTCTTTTGCTTAATAGAGACGGGAGACTGACCTTTATTTTCAAGATTATCAACTATGCTTCTTCTTTTGAACTGACTTTCTTCTTGTTCTTGTCTGTCTGAATCTTGCTGATCTTCTGAAGTCAACAAAAAATTATCAACATCCTTTTTAACACATTCAGTATCATCAACATAACACTTAAAACCTTGTTTGATGCCTGTGAGGATATGAGGTGAGACACTGGCACTGCTCACATTACTGTCAGTTGCTACTGATAGGTTATTACACAAAGGGTGGCTGCTCTTTAAAGATTCCAAAAATGTAAATCCTGGAGAATTTGATACAGCTTCTTCCAGCTGTTTTTGAAGCCTCTCCACTGAGAGTGATGATAAATTTGGACTTAAGCTTCCCTCTCTTTCCTCAAAAGGACAATTATTTAAAACATTTTCTGAAGATTTCAATGCAGCTTTGAGACACCCTGTTTCTGAAGTGGTTGTATTTATTGCAGGATGAGACCTATTATTATCATCAGTGCTAACGGAGTTGAACATGGATTTACTTTCCTTCCCACAGTTTTCCAAGCTGTTTTCATCAGCACACCATTTGAGAATTTTTTTTACTATGTTATGGCTGGAATCACTACGACCTGGTTTCCAACCTGCTTCTCCAACAATTTTAGGTACACTTAGTGAGTCTGTTAGGAATGAGGGAACTTGATTTTTTATGGGTGACTCTGCCTCATAGACAGATTGCAAACCCTTTATCATACTTTTCTGGTGAGCCTGAGGAGACAAAGTGGACTGGTGATTACTTGAAGAAGTCACAGAGGAATCAGATTCATCCAGAAAATGTGGCATATCTCGTGCACTTTTTATATTTGATATTTCAGCTTTGTATTCATCTGAAGCCTTGAAACCATCTGAAGCTCCATTCCCACCGAAATGAGAATCTTTAGCAATAGACTTCTTTTTGTCATCCTCATCCCCTTGCCTTGTTGGAACACTGCTGAATGATAAAATTTCTTGTTGAGCACTGTTGGTTGTGGTGTTAATTGCTTCTGAAACTGTCACAGAATCAGAAACCTCCTTCTGAACAGAAAGTGTATAATTTCCTTTTCTCTCCAATGACAAAAAATAATTGTCTCCACTCTCTGCCTCTGACAGGGTGTTCAAATGAGAGGAATTTACTGGATTATCTGATTCCGCCCCTGGTCTCGAGTGGCTGTCACATGAGTCTTTAAATTGGATAAGATACCGAAAATGTCTCTGGAGCTGAGAAGTATTCAATTGAATGGTTTTAGTTGTCAGAATTGGCTGCATCTCTTCAGCATCAACATGCTTGAAAAGTTGGTGTTGTATGAGCCCACAGCGAGTAAAGGAAATAAAATCACAGAACAAACATTTGAAAACATGTTTACTAGACATGTGTCTCAGAAGAGCTGCTTTGTTGTCAGTGTGGTGATCACAAAAATTACAAAAATAGTAGGGTAAGCTGACAGATGAGTGGGAAAGACCATTAGTAGATAACACTACATTGGCTTGGGAGGAAAGTGCACACAGTGATGTTGAACGACTTATTTTAGTTCCTTCTATTGGAATCTCAGTGAAAATGGATTCCATTAAAGATGAAGGTATGATCAGCCAGTTATCCATGTTAACATTATCCATTGGTAATTTTGGAGGGCATACCTTGCCAGTCACTTCGTAGCTTTCATCTTTTGATGCCATTGTGCGTATTCTCATAAACTTAATAACAACTTGTCTTTATTTACATCTACAGTAAAAGAATAGAAAGTAAAGCATCTTATTTTTCATAAAAACCAGTTTCATTAAATTTACTTTCATATTCTACTTTTGATGATTATCAAAACTTTACAAAAATACTTGTATAACGGGTTCATAACTACTGATTTAAACTACCGGTACTAATACCTAATAGGTAGGTACTTTTCTGAAAGTTTCAACATTTTTCTAAAATAATAAATGCAATACAATTGAATAGAGCCAACTGAATTGAATCATTTACAAAAATATCCAGATCAACTTTTTAGCTCAAGTGGTTCAATAGTTATAAATTGTTTAGTGCTGACCTCAATGCATTTTTTTACCATTTTGTCACCCATTTTTCAGCTCATAAATTTCACACATATTTCTTGCATATTTCTCACCATAAAAATGGTCATATTTACTAGATTTGTTGATGATATCATATATAGCTAGTGTTTGACTTATAACCTACGCAACTTATGACCATTCGACTTTACGATCACATTCACTAGCCATATGATACTGTATTATATTTCAGATTCATTTTTGCCTCAATTATCAGTCGAACGCGTTGTCGGCAATCACAGCGGCCGTGAACATCGAAAATTATGATTTGTAACATCAGTAAAAGAAATTTATGATATAATTTAACTTAAATATTTTTATAACATCATTTCACATTACTGTACAGATAGCGTACTCAACTTACGACCAAATCGTGTTCCGATCTTGGTCGTAAGTCGAGCACTAGCTGCATTAGAAAATAGTATAAAACATGCTTTACAATAGTATTTCCTTATCAAAATAATTATTTTAAACATAGATAATATTTTTTCTTTATAAATACTGTACAAAAAAACTGCATTTAAGGATTGAACAAAATAATCCTAATTTATTAAATGTGATGCTGCAACTTATGAATGTGTAACACACATTAGTAATTAGTATCAGAAGTCTAATTGCTTAATATTTTGTGAAATATTCAATTGTGGTGAGTTTGATTTTATATTTACTTAACTATTTTGATAGTTACTGGTTAGTGTTTTTTTTAAAAACCAATTAATATTAGCTATAGATTATAGTTTGTCCTTCACATTCAAAGATGAGTAAGACAAGTTTAAATTTAAACCTTGACTTGGGCTGTAATTTGTTTAAATTGAGGGAGAGTTGCTCAATTCATCAATGCTTATTTGCTCCAATGGTAAGACTTAGTTAAGATGATTGAAAATAGACGCTTTATGCATTTCACATCGCAGGAGTTGTCAGAATTTTCATAATGTACATGTCATGGCACCTGCGGGATTTCATCTCTGGGTTTAATTTCAGAATTTGCCATCTTTTAAATGAGTTGGGATCCAAGTTGTTATCTACTATCTACTGGCGTTTTTTGTTTGACTGGCTAGGCACTGAACTCTATTCCACAAGCTTGGGGTTTTGAATTCCAGTGAATTTTGACTCATTTTAAACAACTCGGCCACCCAGCACCCATTACCTTTATATTATTATATAGGTCAATTACATTACTATTTTATAATTTTACTTTATAGTATAATTATAATACTTTTAATAGGCCTATCTTAGATCTAAGTAAAAATGTTAACCCTCTTATGTACATGGCAACCAACCTTAAAATAAAATCCACTGTTATTTGAAAAGCCAATAATAATTACTTATATTATAAAACAATTAGCATTTATTTTAAATAATATATATTAATAGTTTAATTCCCATTTATATTCAGGAAAATGAACTAAATGACTTATTATTAACTACCCCCATGGCCGATATCAGTAAAAGGAAATATGTCGACAAGCATAGTTGCAATGATGACAAATTATATAGCCTGAAATAGTAACATTTTCTATTTTTGTTGTTGACCCCTTCACCTAATGATTACACTCATGATTTTGGATATGTTACAGATGGCGTAATAAATTTAAGAAAAGTTCTTTTTTAAAGTTATTAATAAAGACTTTTGTGTAGCTATTTTTATCTTCAGTTTTTAAAGCTTAAGCTTAAAAAAAACAACAATTGAAATAAATTCTTATTCTCAAGCGAACAATCGAGATGTCTGCTTTACTTAATGGGTGGATGTAGGATTTATAATGATTGACCATAAAAGGTCAATACTGATCCCCTCTGTGACGCCTCGGTATATGAAAAAGTGGAGGCACCAATTTTGACAATAAAAATATGATACCCGATTTAGGGGTGTTCCAGGGTGATACCGAAGTTTCTAGCTTAGGATAGGTTGATTGCCCCAATCTGGGCATGACAGGAGTCTGTGTCAAATTCTCTCCCTTTTATTTATCTGTGTGTTAGTACTAAAGTTAACTTTTCCTTAATACAACCATGGAATGTTTTAAATTAAAATTTCATTGCTTGCTAGTTGAAACTTCTTGCTAAATATCTAGATGGATACAATAAAGTACCTATGTTCACCACGAAACTTAAGTAGGCCTACACAGGGTGAAATTTTTAAATTAAATTTTAACATTTTGGTCTCATTTTCATTCCTCTCTCCTACTCTATGTAAATAGCTAAATCAGCACCTCAGAGGTGTAAATAAGTGGGGGCAGAGGGGAACATATGTCCCAGGGGGACATATGTCCATGGGCGCCAGAATATTTAGGGGCGCCAAAATGTGCTTTGATATTATTTTATTGCTGAAAATAATGGGTTTGAGACTTGAAAAAAGAAAGGGAAGCGCTTTAAAATGAATCTTGTCCCTGGGCTCCAAACACTCTAGCTACACCGCTGCAGCACATTTCTCCCTTTCCTCTCCCCATTTTAGCAGATGTTTGCTTTTTTTACACAGCCACTACCTTGGTTGCCATGACCCGTCAAGGCAAGGGGTTTGGCAATCAAGGTGGTGGTCATGGGGTACGTCTTGACACATATATGGTTAATTTACAAACTTTTAATTTTGAGGCGTTAGTTTAGTTAGGTTAATAATTAATAACTTAATATTTTATTTTTATTTTTAAGTAGGGCCTAGTTAGTATTAGTAGCCTAGGCAGGCCTAGGCCAAGTTTAGAAATAAAGCTAAACTAAGTACAATACTAAAAAAGTACTAAGAAAGACCTGAAGTCCTCAAAAACATAAATATCAGAAGTCTAACTCTAAGTAAGCATTCATTAATTATTAATAATTATTAAGACTTAGATTAGATTAGATCACATAGTCACATAGTATAGTCATGTCATAGACTATCATAGTCAAATTCTCAGTTCACTCTAGACCTAGTCTTAGTTAAGTAACTCAGTGTATTTAGAGGATTCTTACCAGTCTGTGAGCCTATAGTATATTGAAAACATGTATTTGATGTAGGCCTATGGTCACTATTTAATAAAAGATGTGCTAATGGCTTATTTCTCCAGGAACTTCGTTTTATCATGAAGGCCTGGGTATGTCATTCTGACCTGTATTAAAAATCTTAAAAAAATGGCGAAAATCAAAACAAAAAATTTAAAAAATACAACCCTTAGTTGGTGGACCCAAAAAAAAAAAAAAAAAAAATTAAAACGGGAGCAAAAGAAATAAACAAATAAACTGACATAATTCATATGACTATTTATATTATTACAATTAGTCCTCAAGAGGGTAGGCAAATTTAAAAAAATAAGTTAATAATCCTACTGATTTGAAAAGAATGCAAAATTATATTTCATAGTTGGCATTAATTTTTAGTTTACGTTCTTCAACTTATTATTTGAATATTATTTGATTATTATTTGATTATTTGTTTTTATTTGTTGACGAAGACGAAGTCCATGCAGTTCAGTGGTTGCGTCCACGACCAAGCCCAACTTTTTAATTTTTACGTCAATAATTGGCGATACAGTTATGTAATGTTCAGTTTAAAATCCAACCCCACTTCACATTAAGCTAGAAACGAGAGAATCACAAAAATGAAAAATGTGTTAATCTTCATTTATGACACCCCAACCCCTCCCAAAATATATATTACTAGTGCTTAGGCTTAATCGGGTGGAGATTTTTACATCAGGTCAGGGTACTTTGAGAAATTACCCGGTGGATCCAAATGTTACGAAATAGTAACTTCTCATTTTCTTTAATATCTGCCAGCATACACCATCCAATACCTGTCCGCCTTTAAACAATAGGCTTACAGACATCACTACACACTGCCTACCGGCCTTTAAACTTTAAACAATAGGCCTACAGACAGTCCTACACACTGCCCACTGGTCTGCAAACAATAGTGCCTACAAGAAAGGTGACCGTCATACCCCAGCAAACTACCGCCCAATATCCCTGACCTCCGTACAATGCAAAATCCTGGAACACATCATATATCACAACATCATGAACCACCCTGAACACTACAACATTTTGACTAACCTAAATCACAGTTTCCGCTCTGGATTCTAAACGGAAACTCAATTAATCATCACCACCAATGACCTCCTAGCCTCCTATGACAAAGGTACCCAGGTCGACATGGCAAATCTCGACTTCTCCAAGGCTCTCGACACCGTCCCACACAGCCTTCTTCTACAAAAGCTCCACCACTGCGGCATTCTTCACTCCTGGCTCTCAACATTCCTAACACAACGTACAATGCAAGTAGTGGTAGACGGCGTCCGATCAGGGAAAGCCAACGTAGACTCAGGAGTTCCAAAAGGCACAGTGCTGGGCCCCATTCTCTTTCTCTGTCGCATAAACGACCTACCCGATAAAGTAAATTCTCAAGTGCGGCTGTTCGCTGACGACTGGCTTATCTACAGAGAGATAAACAGCAACGATGACAACAACCATGCCCAAACAGATTTGAAGTGCCTTATGAATTGGGCGGACAAATGGGGCATGAAAGTTAATGAAAAAAAGCTACATTATGACAACCTCAAGAAAAAAAAACCATCAACTCATATTTACTCACTAAACGAGACAATCCTCCAACAAGTATCCAATAGTCCATACCTTGGAATTCTCTTCTCAAATAACCTAAAATGTTCACCCCATATAAACAAAAAAAAAAAAAAAAAAAGCTAACTCCACCCTAGGTTTCATCCGAAGAAATCTGCGCCACTGCCCAACGTTCTGCAAACGAAATGCCTATCTCGCACTCGTCCGTCCACTACTGGACTATGGTGCGATCATCTGGGACCCACACCTTAAGCAAGACGTGGACATGATGGAGCGAATTCAACGTAACGCGGTGCGTTTTATCGCTCGAGACTACAAATCCAAAACTTCTGGCTTCGTCACTGGCCTCTTAAAAAGATTTGACATCCTCTCCCTTAAAGACAAACGAGAGGGACTCCGCCTGATATTCTTATATAAAGTGGTCATGGGACTGGTGCCGGCCATCCCAGCAGGCACGTACCTCACCCCACAAAAGCCGGGTAGATTGATCAGAACACTGACTTCACCACTGACAACCCCGTAAACAATTACACTAGAAATAACAGCAACTGCTTCACTATGCCTCGGTGCAACACAGTGCATTATAAACAATCTTTCTTCCCACGCACAATAGCATGGAACCACCTGAACGATGCCACTGTGAACTCGACATCGGTCGAAAGCTTCAAGGCTAAGCTGGCATCAGCTAGGAGCTGTTAGACTAGCAACACCATTTCCACAACCGTTGCACAGATGCCTATATATGGATGCAGCAACGAACACTACCTGAACCAGAGAACTTAGAACTAGACGAGACGAGTTACTGTGTAAACTAAACCACCCTAAGCTTGTGGAAATCTGCTCTAGAGCTTTAGATGAGTTTAATAACGAAACAATGTTCAAAAATGTCACATTAATTTTTCATACAGATTTCTCAAGATGATTAAACCCATGATTTTGAAATGGCAATTTTAAAGTGGGAGACTTTTGATTACTTAGTTTGGATCTGGTGTTGAACATTTAAAACGATTATTTTGTTCGGGTGCGCAAAGGTGAAAGGGAATTTTATTTGTGCATAGATTTCGTTCAAAGTGCATTTCGGCACATATTATTAATGTGAACGTACACAAAAACTTTCTCCTACGAACTTCATACACTTTTTACTTTGAACTAATCAAAGAATTCAACATTTTTAAACTACAGAAAAGTGACATCATTAACTAAACATGGACATTTTCTACTCCGATCTGTTTGTCGAACAACATGCAACAGAGCAGTTTTTCGTATTGACCAACTTCGCCGTGGATGTTGCCGCTATTGGAGGTTTATTGATATTTTGGGAAATTCTGGCTCAGACTTTGAAGAAATCGTCTCGGAGAAGGGGAGGCACCTGGTTACAAAACTTTCGTTTTTATCGCCTGGGTAAGAAACAAGTGGATAGATTCATGTAACTCAGGGAGATAAACCCATACATTGGCAATCTTAAGCAAGGAGAAAAATAAACATATTAATTGTTTATGTTATTCTGTCCCTGATGTGGACCCGAAGGTCACCTTAGGAATGTCAGAATTCCAAATGGATCATTTGATTTACCAACACTTGCGTAACACTTAAGTATTTAAACGATATCCTTCGTTGTCAATTAATAATAATTGATGGACTGCATTCAAGTAGTGTAAATGAAACATAAGAACTAGGTATGCTAAACTTGAATAAACTGGGCTCTGTTACTTGTTCTACTTCTATGTGTCTTGTTGGCTGATGAAGGCTCTAAGCCGAAACGTCCATATCTTTTGTCCTGTCTTTTTATTCAAGCTCAGCAGACCTCGCTGTTTTGTTTCATTGTCCTTTAATGCTGCTCTGTGGCATTACTCAACATTTGCTTGTCTTCTTATGCACCTTCCTAACATTGAGATATGACTGTTGACATATTGATTGGCTAGAATCCATGTTAACGTCACTGACGTAGTAAAGGCTCGCGAGCTCTTATGTGGGCGTTTATATCTTACTTGGCTCTTCCCGATGTTGAATAAATCTAATTTCAGTTTGAAATGATTTGGACAAGAGAATACAGTCACCCCGTCTCAAGTCTGAAAGGTTCAGTGTGGGGCCATCGTAGAAAATGATACACTCAAATTAAAAAAAATAGATTGATTAAATAATTGAGCCGCTTTGGAGGAAAATTCATATCGCTGAAGACTCTCCCGAAGCCAGCCTTAGTGTTTAAAAGCGCCATTGGAGTTGACAAAGGCAAAAGTCTGGAAATGTATTCATCAGTGCTTACATGACAATGTTTCTTTTCGTAAAGCGGAAAAGACTCTTCTAGTGAGTGAAGCAGTGGATATGCCTCTCTAGACTCTTCTAGTGAGTGAAGCAGTGGATGTGCCTCTCTAGACTCTTCTAGTGTGTGAAGCAGCGGATATGCCTCTCTAGACTCTTCTAGTGAGTGAAGCAGTGGATATGCCTAGGCTCTCTAGACTCTTCTAGTGAGTGAAGCAGCGGATATGCCTCTCTAGACTCTTCTAGTGAGTGAAACAGCGGATGTGCCTCTCCAGTTGTTAGAATCAGAGAGTTACATTTTTATAGACAGTTTGATGTCGCTTCCGGTCATCCTAGTATTTGACATTTCTTTTGTTTCTGAAATGTTTTGCAGAAATTTTTTAGTAAGACATTTGTTAGTATGACATTAGTTAGTATGAAATTTGTTAGTATGACATTTGTTAGTAATCTGCACAACCCCTAATGCCTTGAAGTTTTCCACCTTGTGCCTGGGTCGTTTTATGTCATCAATGCTAACAGTGCCTAAATCGAAGTTCAGGTATACTTCGGCATCTAAAATGCTTGCAAGCATTTGGCGTTCGAGACGGGCTAAGAGCTATTCCAAATATTGCCTTCTTCTTTTCACCCGTTTGCTCCTATGAGATGACAGTTTCACTCGGATTGTCCAGTCTCTGTCCATGATTTACTTTCATCTGCTATGTCATCAAGTGCAGTGTCTCCCAGCAGCGCAGGAAGGAGGGCAGAGAGGGCGGTACTCCCCGGGGGGGACATTTATTCTTTTTTTAGGGGTTGCCTTTTCGGCCAACTACGGAGTTTTTTCTAAAAGTGAGAGCGACGCCATCCAGTGAGATTAAAGTGACCACTTAGTTAGATGAGAGCGACTGCATCCAGTGAGATTAAAGTGACCACTTAGATGAGAGCGACTCCATCCAGTGAGATTAAAATGACCACTTAGTTAGATGAGAGCGACTCCATTCAATGAGATTAAAGTGACCACACTTGGTTAGATGAGAGCGACTCCTTCCTATTATTTATCTTCCCGACCATACAGATAATTTCTCGTGGTTTAATTTTTCCCCAAACCCCGTCCATCTTGCTCAGGTTTTACCACTTTAACAATTGTGGACCTGTATTGATATTATTAATTTCAAATGAAATTTAAAGTTTGTTCAATATCGCTTTATTAAAATTTTCAGTTCGTAGCTTTTTAGTCGGACTGATGCTTGGTGGTCTTAATCACATGTGGTACAGGATATTGGACACCTACCTGCATGAATTTAATATTCCAACATTAATAATGAAAGTAATCATCGACCAAGACTCTGGTGCCCCATTCATGAGATCGTGCAACCTTTTCGGTCAGTAGTCAAATGTGGCATTGTATTTAGACCAGGAACTCGTTGAGAGGGTATTTAGACTTGGTATTTATTGAGAGGGTATTTAGGCTAGGTATTTATTGAGAGGGTAGTTAGACTAGCTACGTATTGAGAGGGTATTTACACCAGTAACTTATTGAGAGGCTATTCATACCAGTAACTTGTTGAGAGGGTATTTAGACTAGTTACTTATTGAGAGGATATTTAGACCAGTAACTTACTTAAAGGGTATTTAGAATAGTTACTTTTTGAGAAGGTATTTACACCACGGTTTTGTTGAGATCCGAGTTGCCTGAAATGAGTCAATCCTCAGGCTGTGGTAAAGAGTTCAAACCCCAGCAAAGCCTAGACTAGCAACAAAGTCAAACTCCAGCAAAAGCCTAGACTAGCAACAAAGTCAAACCCCAGCAAAAGCCTAGACTAGCAACAAAGTCAAACCCCAGCAAAAGCCTAGACTAGCAACAAAGTCAAACCCCAGCAAAAGCCTAGACTAGCACCAGCAAAAGCCTAGACTAGCAACAAAGTCAAACCCCAGCAAAAGCCTAGACTAGCAACAAAGTCAAACCCCAGCAAAAGCCTAGACTAGCAACAAAGTCAAACCCCAGCAAAAGCCTAGACTAGCACAAAAGTCAAACCCGGGTGTATGGGACTCATTAACATTGGATGCCAACCCATTTAAGAGAAGGCAAACTCTGATATCAAACCCGGAGAAGGCGTATGAAACGGACACAATGAAACTTCCTGCGACGTGGAACACTTGGAGAGAATATTGCCTCGGTCATCTTCGCATGCGAAGGACAAACCATACTTTGATAGTGTAATGGCACCAGTTTCTTTGCATAGTGTAATGGCACCAGTTTCTTTGCATAAAGTAATACAAAAGTCCTTCAACATGCTGGAATTTCTCAGAATTCACACGTATAAAAATAAAGACAAGACAAGCAAGATGTACTGGACATGTTTCGATAATGGCAGACTGCTGAAACAACTCATTCACGGTGAACTAACCAAGGGGAAACTCTCGGTTGCAATTGTGGGCAGAAGAAAAACAAAGTTGCCCTAAACTCCCGAGAAAGACCTGCATCAGCTTACGAGGCAGACTCATTGTTGGAGCAAGCCCTACGCACAAGAACAATATCCTCCAGTGGAGCCCAAAAACCTGTCTCCGACATGCGGAGGAGCAACTCAAGCACAAAGAACAATCCACCTGCGTAATCAGCGTCGAAAATAGCCTTGGTCAATCTTCGCAGATAGTGTAAAGGGTATTTTAGAAATTAATTCTTTATGATAATGTGAACTGAATACATGATTGCTTGGTCGTGAAAGTTCTTCTTATAATATCTTTGCATATGTTTGTGGGAAATGCTTTGACATTTGTACAGATGATAGATTTACTTTATTTTGTTATATCGTGAGAAAATAATTCTCAAGTAAAGTGAGGGTAAACATTGGAGTAGGGCTCATTAATCAACACATTTGTTTGATCTACACAGTGACGTCAGTGTTGGAAGGACACTCGTTATCGACCATCTACCATGACTGGAAGCCCAGTGCTCTAAATAAGGCAAGTCTATTAAGACTGACACATTACCTAGTGCTCTAAATAAGGCAAGTCTATTAAGACTGACACATTACCTAGTGCTCTAAATAAGGCAAGTCTATTAAGACTGACACATTACCTAGAGCTCTAAATAAGACAAGTCTATTAAGACTGACACATTACCTAGTGCTCTAAATAAGGCAAGTCTATTAAGACTGACACATTACCTAGTGCTCTAAATAAGGCAAGTCAATTAAGACTGACACACTACCTAGTGCTCTAAATAAGGCAAGTCAATTAAGACTGACACATTACCTAGGGCTCTAAATAAGGCAAGTCTATTAAGACTGACACATTACCTAGTGCTCTAAATAAAGCAAGTCAATTAAGACTGACACATTACCCAGTGCTCTAAATAAGGCAAGTCTATTAAGACTGACACATTACCCAGTGCACTAAATAAGGCAAGTCTATTAAGACTGACACATTACCTAGTGCTCTAAATAAGGCAAGTCTATTAAGACTGACACATTACCTAGTCCTCTAAATAAGGCAAGTCAATTAAGACTGACACACTACCTAGTGCTCTAATTAAGGCAAGTCAATTAAGACTGACACATTACCTAGTGCTCTAAATAAGGCAAGTCAATTAAGACTGACACATTACCTAGTGCTCTAAATAATGCAAGTCAATTAAGACTGACACACTACCTAGTGCTCTAAATAAGGCAAGTCAATTAAGACTGACACATTACCTAGTGCTCTAAATAAGGCAAGTCAATTAAGACTTACACATTACCTAGTCCTCTAAATAAGGCAAGTCTATTAAGACTGACACATTACCTAGTGCTCTAAATAAGGCAAGTCAATTAAGACTGACACATTACCTAGTGCTCTAAATAAGGCAAGTCAATTAAGACTGACACATTACCTAGTTCTCTAAATAAGGCAAGTCAATTAAGACTTACACATTACCTAATGCTCTAAATAAGGCAATTCAATTAAGACTGACACACTACCTAGTGCTCTAAATAAGGCAAGTCATTTAAGACTGACACATTACCTAGTGCTCTAAATAAGGCAAGTCAATTAAGACTGACACATTACCTAGTCCTCTAAATAAGGCAAGTCAATTAAGACTGACACATTACCTAGTCCTCTAAATAAGGCAAGTCAATTAAGACTGACACATTACCTAGTGCTCTAAATAAGGCAAGTCAATTAAGACTGACACATTACCTAGTGCTCTAAATAGGGCAAGTCAATTAAGACTGACAAATTACCTAGTGCTCTAAATAAGGCAAGTCAATTATGCCTGACACATTACCTAGTGCTCTAAATAAGGCAAGTCAATTAAGACTGACACATTCCGTTTAACACCCAATAATTCATTGACTTTATAGCGCGAGGGTGCATAGTGTTATTTTGCCCCCCCTCCCCCTCTCCCATATTGCTAATAGTTTAATTATAATAAAATGTGTCCGACGCCTTAAGTATTTTAGTACTCTTTATTTTAGAATGCTCAATAAAATATTAACAATCGTGCTACATTTGTCATAAGATTATGCAGTGCTTCATTGCGAAGTTAAAGACTTGAGTTAGCAAGAGACGGACATGGCCATTTATTGTATAACGACTTGAGTTAGCAATACACAGACATGGTCATTTATTGTGTAAAGACTTCAAGAAACAGACGTGGCCATTTATTCCATACGGATTAGATTCGTAAATTTCAGAATAATTTATCTAATGGCGCAACTTGAACTGATTGACTCCAATTAGAATTTAAAAAACCTCTGGAAAAAGTTAATATGTTGAATTTTTTTTTTTTCTTCGTCCCAGAGAGGCATCGACAAGATTTTGCATAAATTGTATAGGCGTAGGGCCTACCTTTTTATACATTGCGAGCAAAAACCGAAGTCACTAAAGCTAATTAGAAAATTAAAAGTAAATTTGAAGTGTTTTCTGAAATCGGAAATGAAGATACAAAAGAGAATACAAGATACGTCACCACATTTGCTTGTGTTACTCAATAAAATAACTATATTTTTTTTATTACTTTGACATGGTTCATCGAAGAGCTTTAGTAATTAGTTGAGTGTGTCGCAATATTATTTTTTGTTGTTGAAAATGTCCTAACTACTGTGTTCTCTTACAGCCTGACTGGCGAATCATGTACACGACACAGTTCATCAACTTCTTTTACCTTCAATCGCGAACCCGTACAATCTATGTACACTGCGTGGCCTTTGTCATCAACTGTTACCTGCTTTACAAGAGATACGCCGCTCAATCCAACGCTCATGCAGCTGATGTGAGTCAAATCATTTATTAACTGATAGTCCGTTGTTTTGGCGATCTCTTTGAGTCGGTACACTGCAAATTGTTAGATATTCTCTTTCTTATGATACCTAACATCACTAACTACCCTAGTCTAAATTAAGACTCACACAAACAACACTAGTCTGACTTAAGACTCACACAAACAACACTAGTCTGACTTAAGTCTCACACAAACAACACTAGTCTGACTTTAGACTCAGATAAACAATCCTAGTCTGACTTTAGACTCAGATAAACAACACTAGTCTGACTTTAGACTCACATAAACAACACTAGTCTGACTTTAGACTCACATAAACAACACTAGTCTGACTTTAGAATCACATAAAAAACACTCGTCTGACTTTAGACTCAGATAAACAACACTAGTCTGACTTTAGACTCACATAAACAACCCTAGTCTGACTTTAGACTCAGATAAACAACACTAGTCTGACTTTAGACTCACACAAACAACACTAGTCTGACTTTAGACTCAGATAAACAACACTAGTCTGACTTTAGACTCAGATAAACAACACTAGTCTGACTTTAGACTCAGATAAACAATCCTAGTCTGACTTTAGACTCACACAAACAACCCTAGTCTGACTTTAGACTCAGATAAACAACACTAGTCTGACTTTAGACTCAGATAAACAATCCTAGTCTGACTTTAGACTCACACAAACAACCCTAGTCTGATTAGTTGATACGATATGCCAATGACACAAGCTCTTAAGTTGGACTGATTCCACATTTCTCATGTTATTAAAAAATCACAACCAATTTGGTGTGTTTTGAAATAACTTAGATGTTCGTAATGTTAGAAACAATTTTCATTAAGCCGAATAAGAGATTCAATAAATCCACAGTAGGGCCTATATCAATCGCTAATCCCCTCATGACTATATGCAGCTTTCGTTTTCAATAGATCAATGGAAATTTATAGCTCTATGGAATTTATATCATAAATGAGTAATAAATATCTTCAAATTTACTTTCAGTCTGTCCACGGTCGCCCTTCCGCTACTGATTAATTTATTATGAAGGATCGACCTGTGTCTATCAGTTAAAAGGTGGGCAAGATGTGTACGGGGAATAGGGCAAGATATGTACGGGGATTCGGGCAAGATATGTACGGGGAATAGGGCAGCGGTCGTTGGCCCTGATAGTGATATCTTTTTTAATCGTACGCTTTAAACGTGATTACAAAAATACATTTTTTTCAGTTGATCCCAAACCTAAAACCTTAAAAATAAAAAATAAATAAATAAAATAAATAAATAAAAACCACCACGTTTGACAAGCCCTGAATCATTAGAATGAAAACAATGAATAGTTTAAAAAGAATTCAAATTATTATGATTTTTTTAGATTGATTTAAGATTGTAAAAAAAATTCTTGACTGGCATATCCTTATACATTTTTGAATTTTAGCTTGATAAAATCATCACGATTTAGATTTAAAAAGAAGATGAATTACATTGTCATAAAAAGTCTGTTAATTACCAATCATAAAAAGTCTGATATTACCCAATTATAAAAAGTCTGTTATTTACCAATCATAAAAAGTCTGTTATTTACCAATCAAATCTTATATGTTTCAGGCTCTATGGATGGGAATTGTCACATCGTGTTTATTGAAGCAAGATCAAGAAAAGATACAAAGAACAAAAGAAATCAAGGCTACGCAAATAAAGTTCTTTATTTTTTAAAGTTTGTAGGAGAAAGCTTTAATAAATAATAGAAAAGAACATTTTTTACAAGTTGTTAAATTATTCCACATGTTTACAGTTTGCCAAAACGGCCGATTTAAGTATACTTGAACTGTTTCCCTTTGAGTGAAAGGCTCAATATAATTAAAGTAGCATGCGCGGTCCTCAGCTCTGAATTTAAACATTGCTATGACCTAGGCCAAAAAAAAAAAAAAAAAGTAATTCTGTAGCCACTTCCCAAAAAGTTATATTTTTTAATTCAAATTTTCGTTCCTACACCACTAATAACTAGCTCCTGTGCTTTTGTATTTCTCCTACACTACTTATGACTAGCTCTTGTGTTTATGTCTTTCTCCTACGCTACTTATGACTAGCTCTTGTGCTTTTGTATTTCTCCTACACTACTTATGACTAGCTCCTGTGCTCTTGTATTTCTCCTACACTACTTATGACTAGCTCTTGTGCTTATGTCTTTCTCCTACGCTACTTATGACTAGCTCCTGTGCTCTTGTATTTCTCCTACACTACTTATGACTAGCTCCTGTGCTTATGTCTTTCTCCTACGCTACTTATGACTAGCTCATGTGCTTATGTCTTTCTCCTACGCTACTTATGACTAGCTCCTGTGTTCTTGTATTTCTCCTACACTACTTATGACTAGCTCTTGTGCTTATGTCTTTCTCCTACGCTACTTATGACTAGCTCCTGTGCTTTTGTATTTCTCCTACACTACTTATGACCAGCTCCTGTGCTTATGTCTTTCTCCTACGCTACTTATGACTAGCTCCTGTGCTTTTGTATTTCTCCTACACTACTTATGACTAGCTCCTGTGCTCTTGTATTTCTCCTACACTAGTTATGACTAGCTCCTGTGCTTATGTCTTTCTCCTACGCTACTTATGACTAGCTCCTGTGCTCTTGTATTTCTCCTACACTACTTATGACTAGCTCTCCTGTGCTTATGTCTTTCTCCTACGCTACTTATGACTAGCTCATGTGCTTTTGTATTTCTCCTACACTACTTATGACTAGCTCCTGTGCTCTTGTATTTCTCCTACACTACTTATGACTAACTCCTGTGCTTATGTCTTTCTCCTACGCTACTTATGACTAGCTCATGTGCTTATGTCTCTCTTCTACACTACTTATGACTAGCTCTTGTGTTTATGTCTTTCTCCTACACTACTTATGACTAGCTCCTGTGC